GTCAATGTGAAACGCTATATGCCAAATTTGTACGTGGACTCACCTTGCAGTAGTAAGGCGCTTAGTAGCACAAAGCGCATCAAATTATTCGGTCTACTCATGAAGTCTGATTCTGATCCTGGCATGTCTTAAAGCTGGCGCTGCGCATTGAAGTGTTCGACGTATATGTCAAGTAGAGTCGGATAAAGCACCACCAGTCTGGTCCACTGCTCAACCGAAAATGTGCTCCCAGTTTCGGCGGCAACGCATGCGAGACCGAGAAACTCGCTCGGTCGCGCTTCCATACACATAGCCGCAGCAGCAGCACCCACAAGAAGTTCACGACGACAACGCTGAGAGACGCCGAAGTCGTGTCACTGCCTCATCATGTGCAGTGAAAGTGTTTTCCACGACAAGCGCCAGGTACAGCAACGCATACGAGCGTGGAAAAAACAGCTCGCACAAAGGCAAAAAGAAAAGCATTGTCTTCTGTCGCAGCGGCTGCAAAGTAGATCAAAGTAACTTACAAACTTAAAGCAAACACGACATCAACGCTAGCCTCGACGCCACGTTTCGTAATTTAAGTTGCGGGCGCGCATGCGTCGTAATATTAGCCACCCGCACCCACATTGTTTGCAAAAGTTCAAAGTTGATCAGCCAGCTAGTCAGTTGGTTTTGCTCAACTGGTTTGTAAGTTAATTGAATGAACTATTACCCACAAGGTGGTAATCTGACAATTTTCTGGCATTATCAGTATGAACTTCCAAAGCTTTTTTCCGTTTTGACATCTACCAAAAAAAAAAAAAAAACTGTCAAACAAAAAACGATTAGTTCCGATAATTCTTGTGTCTGCACTAACCGCGTGCCAAGTGGCAACGCTTCGCCGGCTGCGTTTAACGGTTACGCTAAATTATGTCGGTAATTTGATTTTACAAATTGTTTGCTTGCACTTATTAAATTCAGCACAGACAGAGTCTTTCCTGGCTGCAGCCATATTTTGCAATACCTAAATTGGTAACCACCGTCAATGGCGGAGTATTTCCTATTATTGTATACTTAAATATTGCAAAATATAATGCCACATTTCAAGCTTAATGTACTAAATTAACATAACCTTTAGCTCTAGTTTCTGTGTAAATAGCCGGAGAAAGCTGCACATTGCACGTTCTGTGCCTTCTAGCTGAGAAACTTGCCGCTTTCTGCGTTTCCGCATGAAGTTAAAGTTGTTGCAGCTTGTTTGTATGTATGTGTGTATGTATGTAGTTACACACTTACGAAATTAGGGGTATCTTTAGTACAAATGATTCTCAAACGCGCCGAAGCGCAACGCCTGGTGTGTGCTAGTTTCTGGGTGTCAAGTGCCAATACACTTCGATAGTGGGCGGAAAGATGCGGAAATTGACAGCTAAAACAAACTTTAAATTGCTTGCCCCAAAAGCCAAGACGAATGGCAGATCAACGCTAAATTTACCTGCATCATTAGATCTTACTGACCAGCTAGAAAGTGAAATGCTTGCCAGCCGTAATGAGCGGAGAGAGTGACAGGTGTCACCGCCCTTAAACTCGGCTGACCTCAAGTCTACGCAGCTCATTAAGTGTAAAAGTGTCAATAAAACGCAGGTTTCTATTGTCTTTGTCATATGTAGTGCTATGTGTATGATACTCTCTCACTCCCAGTCCCAGTTCCAGTCCCAGTCCCAGTTCCAGTCCCAGTCCCAATCCCTGTTTTACTCTTTTAGTGAATTTCGCTTTGACGTGGACAATGCCTCATTACTTAATGACACAGCCATAAGCACAACAAAAGACAATTGACACCCGTACACCACACACAATGCAAGGCCGGAGCTAGAAGCTGTTAAGCTAATTGCCACAACTTCTTCACACTTGAGTATGTCAATGTGACGAACACTTTGCTTCTATTCTGTTTGTACCGGGATCTGTAACTGTAGCCGTGACCGTAACTCTAACCGTAACCAGCTTTGCTCGACCAGCGCCACGGGTAGTAACGCTGTCACCACAGCAGGTGGCTTTAAAGTTGTGGGCTAGGTCACTTAAAGCCCGAGCGGCAACCCCAGGACCAATTCCAGATTGGCAATTCATTTGCCAAAATTGAAGAAGGACCCAAAACAAACTCATAATTTCCTGCTGCGCCTTGATTCATTTCCTTATTCAACAGGCCGACTACAGCGAGGCCAAGACTCATCTTGAGCAGCTACAGCAGACACTGACGCACTTGGATCACCATCACCCCCATTCGCACTCGCATCCACATCACCATGGGCTGTATCACCCGGCGCCAAATACATCGACTATAACCACAGATTCGGTGGTTTCCTGTGTCACCTCAACACTGCCGGTTATCGGCAAGGCCACATCCTCCGCATCTTCCTCTAGCTGCGCGAACTCAGAAACGGAGCGCAAGAAATGCCAGAATCACAGTCACGGCGAAATGGAAGTGAGCCACACGCTTATGGAAGCCATCTGTACTCTCCCCCTGCCCACGCATGGCCAAAGGTCGCCACCCTGTTGTCTGTCCATGTCCGGAAATTCTACGCCACCTGCAGGAGCTCTTATGAACGGCTTGGCCACCAACGTCAATGGGGGAACTACTGCTCTATGCAATGGTGACTTAACAGTGGATCGTGCCACATGTAGGATACCATTAACTATTTCTCTAAGCAGATCTTGTTCGAGAAACGTCCTGGTACGCGCATCATCACCATCACCATCACCACCATCAATTGGCAGATGAGCTAGTTATGTACACGACGCCAGCGCCGACGGCGGCAGCAGCAGCCGCCATTGGCAAATTTGGGCTGGACACTTCCACGGAGGGTTACTTGAACGCAAGGTACAATGGTAAGCGTCCACGTCCGCCTGGATGCAGCTCCACGTCCAGTGCATCAACGTCTTCTTGTTTGCTTTTGCTATTTACACGCTTTGTTTATTAACTCCCATTATGAGTTTTCTCGTAGAACAAATCAAATGGGGATGTGGCATGAGTTTCGCTTTGCTTGCGATTCCTTCAGCCTGAAGGCTTTTATTTTATTTTTTGTTTGTTTTAAATAGCTTAACTTTTTGCTTTGCACGCGTCTTTTATTAAGAAAATATTGCGGGGCAATTTAACCTGAAGCGATTTTGAATACTCGAGCTTCATATAAGAATTACAGAATATCGAAACGATTTTTAACTTCAATACATATAACTAAATTGGCATTTACTCCGTAAACGTAAGAGATATACATACATTTTATATACATTTTAAGTTGAGTATAAAATTCTGATAATTAATAGATTTGACACTTGTTACTAAACCGACAAAAGTTTTGAGTTTTTTTAAGACCTTAACAACTTGTTTGGCTGGTCTGCAAATATATATATGATTATTCAGATAAATGTTCTTACAGCTTGTTAAATTGTTATATATATATATATATATGTATGATTCGTTAGATTAATGTACATACAGCTTGATAAATTCTAATAATCTCTGTATTTCTATTAATAACTTACTTTAATTCATAGGATTTGCTAGCATCTTTAGTTATTTGATTTTGATTTTTTATAATGTGCGTTTGCTCCACTATTCGATAGCTCCAGTATTAGTATGAAAGTCTTCTTAGGAGCACTTACCATGTGCATATGACAAGGTCGATTTGCGGGCTCAAAGATATCCCGGCGCGAGCTGTAATGCGAAATATTATCTAACAAAAGTTGCAGAGCTGCCTAACTTTTACTGCTGAAAATCACATTAAAAATGTTTCCTTTTCTTGTGCCCACCTGTCCGATGCCGCTCTGGATCTGCAGTGAATGTCAAAGGCGTGCGCCATGAAAGAACATCAACTTTCTTCGACATACCCGCTGTGACACACCCACACCCGCACCCGCACCCGCACACCCACCCACATCCTTACTGCTACAGGTAAGTTGTAAGCGGAGGTGGAAGTGGCAGCCACAACTACAGCCGCTGACAAGACAAGCCAGTAGATTGTAACCAAAAGGCGACTTTAAGTCAATCAACTTTTTTTCTTATTATTATTTTCAATATATTTATTTTTCCTAATGCTGCCGCCAGGTTTCCACCATCGCCACCCGCGGGCATTTTGAAGAAGAGCGACGAAGGTAAGCAAATGAGAGTCAGAAAAGAAATTATTAAAGCCATGCGTTCATCATTTATTTAAATTATGCTCAGCTACGTGCAGCTGCAGAAGCTGAAGCTATCAGTTCTGTTGCCAATAACTCAATTTGTTTTTCTACAAGATGCCTCGCATGGGCACTTGGATTTTCTTTTACTTTTGCATTTTTGAATAAAATGTAAGAAATCGCGCGCATAATTTACAATAACAACATCCGCGGTGTTAGTAACCGCTAATCCAATTGGTGGCATGGGCATGGAATTCAATTTGAAAGCAACACAGTAGCGCGATGCTCTTAGTTGGCCCCCGGCAGCGGATGGAATGGGGGTTGCAGTCAAACAAGCAACTCAATCATCAGCCGCCGAGTGGATTCAGTTGAGCATGTCTACTAAGGGTGTGGGTCGCACCACTGGGAAATACTTACTGTGCAGTACGCTTTGGCAGCCAACAGGTTTTCAACGCCCGTTCGCTGCTCGTTTGCTGTTATCGGCAATGATGTTTTTACTTGTCGAACACTTTCTCATGGATTATGCAGAGGTATCTTCTGAATATTTAATGCGACCAGCGTCGAGTCGCGTTGCCTGCTGATGTGATTTTGAGCGAGTGCCAAGGAGAGACCAGGACCAGGCGACCATCTAATGAAAAGGGCTTTATGAGTGGGCGGGCGGGGTTTTCACTGTTGTTTGCCCTTAAATTGCAGCATATTGAGCATTTACAAGGGTTCGGAGTGGGTTCCTTAAATAATTAATTCGTGCTAAATACCTTGGCCATTTAGTGAAACAACAAAACAGGCTGACCAACTCGTATTTCTACCCTTCATTTCTATTATACACCTAATATTCAAAAAACAAACTTCACTTTTATTTGAAAAAAAAAACAACATTCTATGGGAAGAGCTTTCAAGCATACTATTTTATTACAAAAATATTTTTTTTTTATTTTTATATTCATTTCAAGGTCTTTTATTGGAAGATATAGACTTCCACGATTTGAGGCGTCTCGTTTGGGCGTGGCCTTAAATATCGATATTGAGTTTATCTTTAAAGGGGGCCGTCAAATCTGAAATATTATGTGACTCTTTTTTATACCCATTGAAAATGGTTAAGCAGGGTACAATGTTTTTGTGCGAATGTGTGTAACAAGCAAAAAGAAGACCCCATAAAGTATATATGTATATTCTTGATCAATAGCCGAGTCGATCTAGCCATGCCCGTCTGTCTGTTCGTCCGTATGTATGAACGCAAGCATCTGAGAGCTTATATACATATTGCAAATTCTAAGAATTTCTGTAGGTTTCTTCTTTGGATTCTTTGCGATTGAATTGTTTTCTCTCCCTATAGAGGGCACTTATGCGAATATACACGAGTATATATTCCACATCGCATGTTTCTAGCTTCTAGAGCTACCAAATTGAATTTCATTTATACAGAGGCCCCCAAGGACGGACGCACAGAACGACAGGAGATTGCAATAAATCAATATATGTGACTATATACTAATTGTGACTATGCGTCTTAATATGGTTAAGGGCGTTAGTCTGACAACTACACAAAGCCAAAGCCTTTCTTTTTAGTCTCTGTCCTGGTAAAAAAATATGAAACACTCTTGCAAAGAGTGTAAATATACGATGTAATTAGTGCCCACTCTCAATTTGATGTTTAAACATGCCCAAAAGCGGCTTTTATTTGGCTCTCTGGCTCTGCCCACCTTTTTCAGAAACGGCAGCTGCTGCCGCCGCCGCTGCCGCGGCTGCTGTGTATTGCAATGATGTATCAGTTGGTCAGCACTTTCATCAGCACAACACCAAGATTGAGCATGCCGACTCCACCACAACAGCCGCCGCCGCACAGCAACATCAACAGCAACAACAACAACAACAACAACAACAACAACAACAACAGCAGCAGCATCATGATTCACTGCATTCTCATACCCAGCATCAGCAGGCGCAGAATACGCATCAGCAGACACATGCTCACCTGACTCCGGTGCACGCAGCCTCCGCCTTTAAATTTAGTCATACGGCCGTAATATCCAGCTCGGCTGTCTATGCCGCGGGCCCACACTACACCCACCAACAGCAGCCGAATGCCCAGACGCATGGCGGGTCTATTGCCACTGTCTATCGTGATATTTCACCCAGCACAGCGACGGGCAGCGAAACAGATCTTAAATACGACAGTGGGCCTTACAATGCCACTATATCTTCCACCTATCCACCACCATTGCGTCCGAGTGTGGTTGATTCCACAACTTCCAGTGATGCGGAGCTGCGCCTTGATCAGTTTTACGCTAGCAATGCAATATCCACCAGCAGCAACGTGCAGACCATCAGCCAGCGTCGTGGCTCGCTCCAGTTATGGCAGTTTTTGGTGGCCCTACTTGACGAACCGGCAACTAGGTAAGTGGAGGAGTAGATGACTTTGAACATGCTTACGTTTCGTATTGTGTGCAATGCATCCAGTTCTAGCTGCATCGCCTGGACAGGTCGTGGCATGGAATTCAAACTCATCGAACCGGAGGAGGTAGCTCGCCGTTGGGGCATACAGAAGAACCGACCAGCTATGAACTATGACAAGCTGTCGCGTAGCCTGCGCTACTACTATGAGAAGGGAATCATGCAAAAAGTCAATGGTGAACGCTATGTCTATCGCTTCGTCTGTGATCCCGATGCGCTCTTTAACATGGCATATGGGCACCTCACAAGCAAGCAAGCAGACCAGCAGCATCAGTTGACCTTGTCGTTGGCGAAGTCATCGCCGGAGTCGCAGTCGCAACTTCGCGTGCAAAAATCGACAACCGCAGATTACTATGACAGTGGCTTGCATAAGTACCAGTAGGCGGAGTGTGGGAACACCACTGTATGGGTGTAACACCCATGTCTCATGTATATTGTGTAATTTAATTTTTTATGGGTGTGTGGGGTCACACTGCTTTGCTGTGCGACTGCGTTTCGTTAATGAAAAATACCAAATTTGTGACGGCCCCGCTTGAGAAACTTTCGGCAAGCAGTGCTCAAAAGCGTCTATCGGTCGGCCACCATAAAAAATCGATGTCTATCGAACAACGATCACAACGGCACAATCGCTTGCCGGTCGGATTTCATATACATAGACTGTAGACCGGAAAAGGTGTTTTTCATTTTCATGTATTTGATTATTAGATGGCTAGCGTTAGATGCGTAGCTCATCTAAGCGAGGCCTTATCAGCAGCAATTACATACATACATCAAATAACATACATACATATATACAAAAGAAAGTGTCCACTACTAAATTGTAATCGCGTTAAGGTTGAGTTGACGTATTTAAAATAAAGTATATACCGTTTTTTGTTCGTTACACAAACCAGCCTATGCCACTTGTGTGTTTATATCACTCTTCCTTCTTCTTCTTTTTCGGTACTGATCTCTCGTCTGACTCGTCCGAGTTGCTACTGGAGTTGTCAGCGTCGCTACTACTGTCAGTATCCAGCTTGCGTTTCTCCGGTGACTTCTTGGCCAGTTTGTCCACATAGCTCTTTACCTTGTCCGGCTGCGGACTATAGGCCCAGTGTATAAGCTGTAAGTGTAACTCGCTAGGCGCGCCTGTCTCCTTATCGAATAGTTTGACATCTTCACTTTTGATTTGTTCCAGCAATTTTGCTATCTGACGATTACGTATTATATCCCAACTTGTTGTCTCGTCCTTCGGATACATCGTTCGCAGGTGCTTGTAGTTGCCCTTGGCCTTGGGTCCTCCATAAGCAGCCAGGAACTCAGCCGCCAGTTTGTCTTTTGGTTCAGGCAACTTGGCCACGACTGCATGTGAAAGATAGGCGCGATTGTCCATGATTCGATTCTCCGTCTCGAATTTTTCAAGAAACTCTTCAAGTACTTGCACGCCTTCCTTGATGGCACTTATTTTATCTTCATTCTTGGTCCCAGAGAGCACCCTTTTCGAGCTGCCAATAAGACCCTTGACAGCCAGTTTTTGATATTCTGGATCGCGTTCCTCCAAAATGCTGCAATTTAAATGTTTCGATATATCAATTCAATTCCCACATAGGAATATAAGTATTTGTATAGACAAACAGTGGAATGTTTATGGATGCCGAATATGTTCGCATAGCATGCCAAATGCTTTGCATGTGTATACGCACGGAGAGCAGCAGTCAGAGAGGAAACTGAGGCGAGCTCTCTTTCGTTCGTATTAAACACTAAAACTGTGACATGACATCATAATGGCGGCATAGCCAAAGTGCCGCTGACTATGACCTTCTGCCTTAAAAGCTGATTTGTATTGGTATGCACAGTCGGTTGCTCTTACCTCAGAGTTGCTTGCGCCGCCGCCTTGTCCTTAAAGCCCAGACCAGGCACCGTCTCCACCTTATCGTCACCCTCAGTCTTTGCATTTTTGTTGGACGCACCGCCGCCATTCTCCTCTAGCCATTGCTCAAACACGCCAATAGCATCATTTATGTTCTTTAGCTTCTCTGCTGCTTTTGTCACTGTACAAAGGCAAATTGCTGTGAAATGTTAAAAAAAAAGAGACTCGTTGGTAACCTACTTGTCAGCACGCGTTTGGCACGTCCCAGTAGTCCGCGCACGGTCAGCTTGCGGTACTGCATATCATGACTCTCCAACAGCTTGAGCGTCTCCAACGCTTTCTCCATGTCCTTGAATCCAAATTTTGATTCGCCCTCGGACATTGTTGCTGCTCAAATTTAGAAACGTATATGTCGACCAACAGAAACGACTACTATCCACCACCGACAAACTGCGACTGACTGCTGGCTTTTCGTTTACAAAAGTTTTGAGGCAAGGCATACACAGCTCGCGCCATAAGAATATCAAAAGAGAGCATGCGAGCGCTACTGAGACTGGGTGAGCAGTATCTGGACAGGCAATTAGATAAGCGTGGCCAAAATAACCAAGTGACACTATCAGTGCTCAATATAGGAACCGGTTTGTTGTCGTACTGCCGTAGCAAAACAAAAGCGAGAAGAAACCCTGATATGACGTCATGCCCAACAGATGGTCACACTTGCGCACCCACACGGGCACACACACACACACACACACCAAATTCATACGATAGTTTTTGATGCGGTTTGCGAATAACGTGATTTTAAGATACAGTGGTCGCTATAATTACCTTGCCGAGCCAAATTTTAAATATTTTATTTAAAATAAGTTGGCATACAATATTATACAATTTGTTGAATTCAGATTGCTTTGAGCATAATAAAGTTACCATGCAGACAAATTTACCAAGGCCGATAGTCAAAACTAGTGCCGATCACTATATTACTGATAACGTTATTAATTATAACGTTAATGTATTAGCTAAACTTATTAGCTTCAGAGCTAGTCATACAATGCTTACAGGTGAGTTTCCACAATTCGAGCAAGTACCGTGGTCCCTTATAGCGTCTTTTAAAATAAATATTCAGATCAGGTAACCAGCTTTCAGTTCTTTGGGTGAAAATTAACATCAGCTGAGCCTAATATATTAGCCGGATTCCCTATAACACACAAAATAATGACTGAGGCGATAGACAGCGTTAATACTAAATTATTTCGAAATTTATTTAGCTTATCCATAAACTTAACTCGGCCTATTTATTATACCCTTGCATTTGACGAAATGTATGTATAGCCCAATAAGGGCTAATAATTTGAGCCCATAAACTATTTTTAATTACGACGACCAGCTGAGTGGATATAGTCAAGTCAGTCTGTGCTCAATTTCGTTTGCGAGTCTTAAAGATATGTACATTTTTATATTGGATCAAATGAGAGTCAGAAAAGAAATTATTAAAGCCATGCGTTCATCATTTATTTAAATTATGCTCAGCTACGTGCAGCTGCAGAAGCTGAAGCTATCAGTTCTGTTGCCAATAACTCAATTTGTTTTTCTACAAGATGCCTCGCATGGGCACTTGGGTTTTCTTTTACTTTTGCATTTTTGAATAAAATGTAAGAAATCGCGCGCATAATTTACAATAACAACATCCGCGGTGTTAGTAACCGCTAATCCAATTGGTGGCATGGGCATGGAATTCAATTTGAAAGCAACACAGTAGCGCGATGCTCTTAGTTGGCCCCCGGCAGCGGATGGAATGGGGGTTGCAGTCAAACAAGCAACTCAATCATCAGCCGCCGAGTGGATTCAGTTGAGCATGTCTACTAAGGGTGTGGGTCGCACCACTGGGAAATACTTACTGTGCAGTACGCTTTGGCAGCCAACAGGTTTTCAACGCCCGTTCGCTGCTCGTTTGCTGTTATCGGCAATGATGTTTTTACTTGTCGAACACTTTCTCATGGATTATGCAGAGGTATCTTCTGAATATTTAATGCGACCAGCGTCGAGTCGCGTTGCCTGCTGATGTGATTTTGAGCGAGTGCCAAGGAGAGACCAGGACCAGGCGACCATCTAATGAAAAGGGCTTTATGAGTGGGCGGGCGGGGTTTTCACTGTTGTTTGCCCTTAAATTGCAGCATATTGAGCATTTACAAGGGTTCGGAGTGGGTTCCTTAAATAATTAATTCGTGCTAAATACCTTGGCCATTTAGTGAAACAACAAAACAGGCTGACCAACTCGTATTTCTACCCTTCATTTCTATTATACACCTAATATTCAAAAAACAAACTTCACTTTTATTTGAAAAAAAAAACAACATTCTATGGGAAGAGCTTTCAAGCATACTATTTTATTACAAAAATATTTTTTTTTTATTTTTATATTCATTTCAAGGTCTTTTATTGGAAGATATAGACTTCCACGATTTGAGGCGTCTCGTTTGGGCGTGGCCTTAAATATCGATATTGAGTTTATCTTTAAAGGGGGCCGTCAAATCTGAAATATTATGTGACTCTTTTTTATACCCATTGAAAATGGTTAAGCAGGGTACAATGTTTTTGTGCGAATGTGTGTAACAAGCAAAAAGAAGACCCCATAAAGTATATATGTATATTCTTGATCAATAGCCGAGTCGATCTAGCCATGCCCGTCTGTCTGTTCGTCCGTATGTATGAACGCAAGCATCTGAGAGCTTATATACATATTGCAAATTCTAAGAATTTCTGTAGGTTTCTTCTTTGGATTCTTTGCGATTGAATTGTTTTCTCTCCCTATAGAGGGCACTTATGCGAATATACACGAGTATATATTCCACATCGCATGTTTCTAGCTTCTAGAGCTACCAAATTGAATTTCATTTATACAGAGGCCCCCAAGGACGGACGCACAGAACGACAGGAGATTGCAATAAATCAATATATGTGACTATATACTAATTGTGACTATGCGTCTTAATATGGTTAAGGGCGTTAGTCTGACAACTACACAAAGCCAAAGCCTTTCTTTTTAGTCTCTGTCCTGGTAAAAAAATATGAAACACTCTTGCAAAGAGTGTAAATATACGATGTAATTAGTGCCCACTCTCAATTTGATGTTTAAACATGCCCAAAAGCGGCTTTTATTTGGCTCTCTGGCTCTGCCCACCTTTTTCAGAAACGGCAGCTGCTGCCGCCGCCGCTGCCGCGGCTGCTGTGTATTGCAATGATGTATCAGTTGGTCAGCACTTTCATCAGCACAACACCAAGATTGAGCATGCCGACTCCACCACAACAGCCGCCGCCGCACAGCAACATCAACAGCAACAACAACAACAACAACAACAACAACAACAACAACAGCAGCAGCATCATGATTCACTGCATTCTCATACCCAGCATCAGCAGGCGCAGAATACGCATCAGCAGACACATGCTCACCTGACTCCGGTGCACGCAGCCTCCGCCTTTAAATTTAGTCATACGGCCGTAATATCCAGCTCGGCTGTCTATGCCGCGGGCCCACACTACACCCACCAACAGCAGCCGAATGCCCAGACGCATGGCGGGTCTATTGCCACTGTCTATCGTGATATTTCACCCAGCACAGCGACGGGCAGCGAAACAGATCTTAAATACGACAGTGGGCCTTACAATGCCACTATATCTTCCACCTATCCACCACCATTGCGTCCGAGTGTGGTTGATTCCACAACTTCCAGTGATGCGGAGCTGCGCCTTGATCAGTTTTACGCTAGCAATGCAATATCCACCAGCAGCAACGTGCAGACCATCAGCCAGCGTCGTGGCTCGCTCCAGTTATGGCAGTTTTTGGTGGCCCTACTTGACGAACCGGCAACTAGGTAAGTGGAGGAGTAGATGACTTTGAACATGCTTACGTTTCGTATTGTGTGCAATGCATCCAGTTCTAGCTGCATCGCCTGGACAGGTCGTGGCATGGAATTCAAACTCATCGAACCGGAGGAGGTAGCTCGCCGTTGGGGCATACAGAAGAACCGACCAGCTATGAACTATGACAAGCTGTCGCGTAGCCTGCGCTACTACTATGAGAAGGGAATCATGCAAAAAGTCAATGGTGAACGCTATGTCTATCGCTTCGTCTGTGATCCCGATGCGCTCTTTAACATGGCATATGGGCACCTCACAAGCAAGCAAGCAGACCAGCAGCATCAGTTGACCTTGTCGTTGGCGAAGTCATCGCCGGAGTCGCAGTCGCAACTTCGCGTGCAAAAATCGACAACCGCAGATTACTATGACAGTGGCTTGCATAAGTACCAGTAGGCGGAGTGTGGGAACACCACTGTATGGGTGTAACACCCATGTCTCATGTATATTGTGTAATTTAATTTTTTATGGGTGTGTGGGGTCACACTGCTTTGCTGTGCGACTGCGTTTCGTTAATGAAAAATACCAAATTTGTGACGGCCCCGCTTGAGAAACTTTCGGCAAGCAGTGCTCAAAAGCGTCTATCGGTCGGCCACCATAAAAAATCGATGTCTATCGAACAACGATCACAACGGCACAATCGCTTGCCGGTCGGATTTCATATACATAGACTGTAGACCGGAAAAGGTGTTTTTCATTTTCATGTATTTGATTATTAGATGGCTAGCGTTAGATGCGTAGCTCATCTAAGCGAGGCCTTATCAGCAGCAATTACATACATACATCAAATAACATACATACATATACAAAAGAAAGTGTCCACTACTAAATTGTAATCGCGTTAAGGTTGAGTTGACGTATTTAAAATAAAGTATATACCGTTTTTTGTTCGTTACACAAACCAGCCTATGCCACTTGTGTGTTTATATCACTCTTCCTTCTTCTTCTTTTTCGGTACTGATCTCTCGTCTGACTCGTCCGAGTTGCTACTGGAGTTGTCAGCGTCGCTACTACTGTCAGTATCCAGCTTGCGTTTCTCCGGTGACTTCTTGGCCAGTTTGTCCACATAGCTCTTTACCTTGTCCGGCTGCGGACTATAGGCCCAGTGTATAAGCTGTAAGTGTAACTCGCTAGGCGCGCCTGTCTCCTTATCGAATAGTTTGACATCTTCACTTTTGATTTGTTCCAGCAATTTTGCTATCTGACGATTACGTATTATATCCCAACTTGTTGTCTCGTCCTTCGGATACATCGTTCGCAGGTGCTTGTAGTTGCCCTTGGCCTTGGGTCCTCCATAAGCAGCCAGGAACTCAGCCGCCAGTTTGTCTTTTGGTTCAGGCAACTTGGCCACGACTGCATGTGAAAGATAGGCGCGATTGTCCATGATTCGATTCTCCGTCTCGAATTTTTCAAGAAACTCTTCAAGTACTTGCACGCCTTCCTTGATGGCACTTATTTTATCTTCATTCTTGGTCCCAGAGAGCACCCTTTTCGAGCTGCCAATAAGACCCTTGACAGCCAGTTTTTGATATTCTGGATCGCGTTCCTCCAAAATGCTGCAATTTAAATGTTTCGATATATCAATTCAATTCCCACATAGGAATATAAGTATTTGTATAGACAAACAGTGGAATGTTTATGGATGCCGAATATGTTCGCATAGCATGCCAAATGCTTTGCATGTGTATACGCACGGAGAGCAGCAGTCAGAGAGGAAACTGAGGCGAGCTCTCTTTCGTTCGTATTAAACACTAAAACTGTGACATGACATCATAATGGCGGCATAGCCAAAGTGCCGCTGACTATGACCTTCTGCCTTAAAAGCTGATTTGTATTGGTATGCACAGTCGGTTGCTCTTACCTCAGAGTTGCTTGCGCCGCCGCCTTGTCCTTAAAGCCCAGACCAGGCACCGTCTCCACCTTATCGTCACCCTCAGTCTTTGCATTTTTGTTGGACGCACCGCCGCCATTCTCCTCTAGCCATTGCTCAAACACGCCAATAGCATCATTTATGTTCTTTAGCTTCTCTGCTGCTTTTGTCACTGTACAAAGGCAAATTGCTGTGAAATGTTAAAAAAAAAGAGACTCGTTGGTAACCTACTTGTCAGCACGCGTTTGGCACGTCCCAGTAGTCCGCGCACGGTCAGCTTGCGGTACTGCATATCATGACTCTCCAACAGCTTGAGCGTCTCCAACGCTTTCTCCATGTCCTTGAATCCAAATTTTGATTCGCCCTCGGACATTGTTGCTGCTCAAATTTAGAAACGTATATGTCGACCAACAGAAACGACTACTATCCACCACCGACAAACTGCGACTGACTGCTGGCTTTTCGTTTACAAAAGTTTTGAGGCAAGGCATACACAGCTCGCGCCATAAGAATATCAAAAGAGAGCATGCGAGCGCTACTGAGACTGGGTGAGCAGTATCTGGACAGGCAATTAGATAAGCGTGGCCAAAATAACCAAGTGACACTATCAGTGCTCAATATAGGAACCGGTTTGTTGTCGTACTGCCGTAGCAAAACAAAAGCGAGAAGAAACCCTGATATGACGTCATGCCCAACAGATGGTCACACTTGCGCACCCACACGGGCACACACACACACACACACCAAATTCATACGATAGTTTTTGATGCGGTTTGCGAATAACGTGATTTTAAGATACAGTGGTCGCTATAATTACCTTGCCGAGCCAAATTTTAAATATTTTATTTAAAATAAGTTGGCATACAATATTATACAATTTGTTGAATTCAGATTGCTTTGAGCATAATAAAGTTACCATGCAGACAAATTTACCAAGGCCGATAGTCAAAACTAGTGCCGATCACTATATTACTGATAACGTTATTAATTATAACGTTAATGTATTAGCTAAACTTATTAGCTTCAGAGCTAGTCATACAATGCTTACAGGTGAGTTTCCACAATTCGAGCAAGTACCGTGGTCCCTTATAGCGTCTTTTAAAATAAATATTCAGATCAGGTAACCAGCTTTCAGTTCTTTGGGTGAAAATTAACATCAGCTGAGCCTAATATATTAGCCGGATTCCCTATAACACACAAAATAATGACTGAGGCGATAGACAGCGTTAATACTAAATTATTTCGAAATTTATTTAGCTTATCCATAAACTTAACTCGGCCTATTTATTATACCCTTGCATTTGACGAAATGTATGTATAGCCCAATAAGGGCTAATAATTTGAGCCCATAAACTATTTTTAATTACGACGACCAGCTGAGTGGATATAGTCAAGTCAGTCTGTGCTCAATTTCGTTTGCGAGTCTTAAAGATATGTACATTTTTATATTGGATCCGGCCAAAACAACGAAATCAGATTGATTTTAGAAAACAAATAATACGAAAGTAAGCAGCTCTGTAATATAAAAGAAGATTCCGTCAAAAGATCGGCCGGATATTACACATTGTTTTGGGCGCTAATTAGGATCGCGCTGCGATAGCAACAGCTCTGTTTATATATCTGCAAGGGTACTAAGTCTTCGGCATTCCGAAGGTGCTTTGTTTTTTCTATTACTTAAGGATTGATAATCAACTCATTTTTTACAGCGCAACAAACGAGATGAACTGCCTCCTCTGCAATACAAGTCGAAATAAATTGATGCTTACAGTTACAGTTAAGCAACGTTCTACTCACATTTCAAATCTAGCCTAGCACGTTTCTCAAGGATTTCCAATTCCATCATTTCAATTCGCAGTTTTCCCTCTTGGACTTCCTGATCCAGCTTGATTTTCTCTTTAAGCATTTCGTGGTCATGTTTTTCTTGCGCTCGCAAATTTTCGCCCTTATAAAAATCTTGCTGAAGCAACACCAATTTAATCTTTTCCTCATCCAAGCTTCGCAGGGTTCTTGGGTTCCAACTGGGCCAGTCGACACTTGTGCTTGCCATGACTTCCTTGTGTGCAGAAATATTGGCGACCTTCAAACCAAAATATATCAATCTCCAACTGCATGCTTATAATAATATGTGCTTACATCGTGCGCATCTGTGGAACTTGCAAACATGTCATCCTCCCCCTCGAAGCTCATGTCATTGGGCACATTGGCTGTAAGGAGGATTTAGATTTGATAGTAGCAAGCGTTTTCCAAATTCAAATACTTACAAGCATCGCTGTCGAATTGGTTGCTCAAGCCTGCTGTTGAATCCCCCATCAAGGCAATAAACTTTCCTGTGCCCATGCGAAAACTGTGGGTCTTGTCCTCACCCAGTTCTACCTTGGACCTCCTTTTCATGTTTATAAACTTGTCTCTTAATGCCTTCCATTCGCGCCGAATGCCTGTTCTGGTGTAAAAGGTGTCTGCCATTTCTTCCCAAGCCTGCTCTTTCTGTTTCCAGGTAGCTGCGTCCGACTTTTTATTCTCCAGGATATTCTTTCTTTCTTCCAGCAGCTCCATGAGCACTTGCTCCTCCTCTGCCGTAAAATTTTTGCCTCTTTTTTTCTTTTCCTCGCTCGACATTTTTCAATTTTCCGCACACAACATACAAAATAAACAAACTCAGCTGTAGTTTATTCAGTGTGACCACTCTCTGCAAATTATGACCAGCCCTGCCACCTTGTCGGTGCATGTTGCCAGAGTTCAAACGTTTTTAAATATTGTTGGCAAGTATTTTGATAGTAAATATGAAATTATTATAAACTTAAAGCTAAGGACAGAAGTACTCATATCTTCCCAGTCACATACCGTCAATCAAAAACCATTTGACATCTTATTGTTTCTAAAGAATATATATTAATAAAATCCAATTTAGATTAAATACGTTAAGAAACAAAGTTCGTCTAAATAAAGCCTGTGTGGACATATGCTTAACAACTGTCGGGTACTGTTAGTAACTCGAATATTGAAATTCTGCTGTGCGAAACACCCCTCAGACCTTTATTATTATGGAAACTCATTTCAAAGGATTAAAAAATTATGAAGGTTTTTGTAGAGAAAAAGATGTTTATTTTCTTTACAGAGGACAAGATGAAGATTTTTTTTTTACATTCGGGTCATCGATGGATTTTTGTCGTATTGCAATGATCATGACTTTTAATGGTATTTCTATATAGTTATCTTATTTAACTTTTTTTGACATACAGATAAAATTTGTATTTTCAAACTCTCATAGAATCAAATTTAATTGCAGCTGCGCTGTATTTCCAGCACATCGTCCAACATGAAGTTCCGTAAATGGCATAGCGCCTGCACCACATTTTCTTGGTCACGTATATTGGGGCCCAGCCAGTGCTCAGGCAACTGCGTCTTTCCCACCTGGGTAGGATGCACGTGGGTAAGTGATCGACGCCAATTGTTATTGCAGGCGCTGACACTTAAATGGCTACCCGTCTGCAGGCTTTCAATGTACTTAATATAAGCCTCGGAGTGGATGACACGGTTGGAACGGGGTGGTACAGTTACAAACATAGGCTCCAGAGGCGGTCCCGTAACAATAGTCTGCATCTGCTGCTGTTGTTGTTGCTGCTGTTGTTGCTGAAGCTGCAGTTGTTGCTGTTGCTGCGCAACCTCCGCGTTAAGCGGTGCTCGGGGTGAGTGCGCGTTGTTGGATGGGATTGGTACACTGGACCCTAACTGAGGTCCTAGTTTCTGCTTGCGGGGCACAAAGTTTTTACTGCGCTCCGTGATCCCTAACGGTTTACCACACTTGCTCAGATGTACCTCGCGCACATGTTTAATGAGCCGCAACACATTGGGAAAAGCTTGGACAGACTTGCGTATGCGCGGACAGTTACGCCAGAGACACACGTACTCCATCTCGACGCCTGCCTGGGGGTGTCGCTGAATGTGTCCAGTGGCATCGGAAAGACAATGCTCAGTACAGTCTGCCATTTCTTCGAATTGATAGTCACACTTGTCCCATAGGCATTCAAAGGTCAGCGCCGGACCTGAGTCCTGACCGCCAGTAGCGCTTTGCGGCAGTGGACTTCCACAATTTTGGTTATCGTCAATCTCACGACGCAAGGCAGCGGCCTCTTCGTTCAGCTTGTTGGCGCGATCCTCCCAGCTTTGCTTGACGCTAGAGGGCAAACTCTTCCACTCATTGCCCACTAAGCGAGAAATGTCACCAAATGTTGCATCCGGATTGCTCTGACTTATACCTGCAGACGACAAGAAATTATTAAATATAGATACGAGTCATACCAACTTAATTTGAATGGAATTCAATTAGCGCTTACCCTTACGCACATCGCTAGAGTACAGTATGTATCCAGTGAGGCTCTTCTTTGCCGATTTCATTTTTGTCTTAGAGGTAAGCGGCGTAGAGTTCACGGACGGCGCTGGGGACGATATTGCGACTATATCCGAGCTTAGCGATGGCGTATCACCATCCATAGAATCTTCTAGCATGGACAACTCGTTCAACTCGTTCTTCACATCCTTGGCTGGTTTAATGGGCGATTTGAAATAAAATATTTCATCTTCGGTGACCTCAGCACTATGCTGGAACTTGCGCAAATTGCCGACTACCAGATTGCGTAATGCTTTCTTAACTTCATCGTAGACTGACTCGCAAATGTACACATCACTCTCAGCGATTTCTGTGGGTCGGGAGCTAATGAACTCGGCATACTCCAGCACAGCACAGCGGCCCACGATACCAATGACGGGACTCATATCCTCAACAGTGCTTAGTAGCAACTCTTGGCGATAAAATTGCTTGCCTAATGCTGGTGTTGTCTCGCTAGGTGACAGCAACCACGGTCCCTTAAAATACGATTTTCCATTTAATTCCCAGATCTGCTGGACTTGGGCAACGGATTGCTTTCCACTTTGCGTGGCCACATAAACAAAATCACCGGTCTTGATGACCCCGCTACAAATGGTGTTATACTGCTGATAGTATACACTGTTATCCTGGGCATTTGGTGGTGCGTCGCAGGTTACATTGGGTTTTTCCTTTTCGACCAGCGCTTCCTGCAGCTTAAGCTCCTCTAGCTCGCCTTTGTGCTTTTCAATTCGCTCCTTAAAGACGGACATCACACGCTTCAGTTCCAATGGCGTGTCGCGCGGCACAAATCTCACCGAACTGTTGTTGCTTTCGCGCGAAGTTGGCCAATTCTTAAGCTTCTTGAAACAACGCCCTTGCAGATTGTATCGAGATTCACAGACAAACACATCTTTTTCGGGCAGCCCATCGGGCCGCAACTTAATGTAGTCCCTGATATGCATGACGTAGCACATGCCCAGTACCTTATCCATGGAAATGGTTTGCGAGATGCTGCTCTTGAAGACCTCCTTTTCGAGAAACTTTCGCGAAGTTACGTGATAGGTCTCGTGCGGACGCAGAAAGATTGAGGCCTGCATTAGCTTTTCATTGTTCGGCGTAGTCCATAGCCTTTCGATACATGCAATACTGGGAATCTTGTTCTCTGGCATCTGAACATACACATAGTCGCCAGGCGAATACACCTGCTGGTTGATTGTCATGCTTTCCCCTTTTGTGTTTGCATTGAAGTCATCTTTGTCTTGCTCCTGATCCTGTTCCTCTTGGGCCACCTTCTGCAGCCGCATTACCTCCACGTCTAAAAGCAATTTGTCTAGCGTGAAGCCGAGCGCCGGCGAACTCAGTGTGTCCTTGCACAGCTCATCTCGCTTTCGTATAAAATACGTTTGTAGTTCGATGGAGTCCTGGAAAATGTCCGAGTCGGTGCGCGACAATTTGCGCGCTCGCTCCAAACAAGAAAACATGTCCTCCTGGTAGACATCCAAACGCTTATAGGCTCCTTTATCCAGACGACGTTTGACCAGATCCAGGGATATACCGCGTACTTTCGCGCCATCGCCCAACTCGTCATACTCGGGCAACTCAGCCAAAGAGTCCGAATAACAGCGTCCCTCTTCGTCTTGGTGATTGTAAACCGAAGTAAAGAGCGTTAAGAACAGTTCCTGAACAGCCAACGAGACATCCGGCAGTGCATCACGCTCAGTGCGCAGCTGCTGCTTTAATTGCAGCGTCAACTGTTGCAACACCAAAGCGTCTTTGTATATTTGCGAGTCGGGCTCATTATATTTGCAGGCATTTTCAAGCATGAGCAGAAAATCAGCGGCCAGCTCGTCCACACTTTCGTAGGCGGCCTGCTTTAGTTTCTGTGCAATGCGCTCCATATCCATTGGATCCTTGATTATGTCATAATATTCCGGATAGTCGCTTTTTGATGGCAGCTTGGTAAAGATTAGCGACAATTGGCGCTTGCCTTTCGGTTCCTGATAGTCTCGCAGCGTTTCATAAAACTGCCAGAGGCGATCACGATCAGCTAGCAGCGCTGCCTTTGGCTTGCGCCCAAGCTTGTTGTATTTTTGCAGAGGCCTCTTGACCTCCACCAGACCAGGAAATTCTTTGAGCTTTTCGTTCAGGGCGCGTTCCAGCGAATTGGCGTCCTCGTAAATATTGGAACCCTCCTCATTATATTGTCGACAATTGGAAAACATGAGTCGATAGTCGGCAACGACGTCCTCCACGGTGGCATACCGATCGGCACGAATATTGTGCTCAATGGTATTCATGTCAATGGGATTCTGTATTATATCATAGTAATCTGGATATACCTTGCGCGGTGGCTTTTCCATAAACATCTCAATGGGCCTACGGTTGCCTACCGTAAAGTCCACCAGGTATTTTTGTATAGTGAGAATTTTCTTCTTGATGGTCGCATTGATAGCAATGCGATTCGTTTTGGGTGAATTTGAGTTGTTGGACGTGTGCGCCGTACTGGAATTTGAATTGACTCGTGGCCTGCCCGGTTTGCGCTTCTCTGGCTGCACGCTCGCTGTGAAAGTTTCGTCTATTTCATCCTCATCCATATCACTGGTTTCTTCCAGCGATTCCTCTACTAGTTTGGCATTCATGAGTTTCAGCATTTTCAGTGCATCTTTGTGCGTGCGATGCGTGATTGGAAACGCTTTTTTGGCATTATCCAGCATCAAATAGAGATCGCCAGTGAGATCACTTATGTTCGCATAATCGCCCTTCTTTAGCTTAGTGTGAATTTGACTCATTGAAATGGGACGTTTGATAAGCTCGAAGTATTCAGGATGAAAGCGACGCACAGGCAGCTTCCACAAAGAATTGCCCAGCGGCGGACCAGTGACACCGGGATGCTCTGATGTGCCAGGAGCATTATACAAGTGATCAAATAATGCCCACATGGGTCCCTCGCCTTTCTTGCTGGTCTCCTCATCGTCCGAGCTATCCACTTCCTCTTTGAGCGCTAAAATATAGGTAAGATTATGGTTTCCCTTAAACAAAAGGCACCCATTTATGTAACTCTCCGGAACTCAACCCACCTGCTATCGCTGCACTCGACAAACTCTTGACGCGTCGGACTGGCTTGCCCTTGCCCGTCTCTAGCTCTAGACGTCGTTGTGTAAAGATTCGCTTTAAGGCCTTGGCATCCTTATAAATCTGCGATCCAGGCTCATTGAAAAGGCAAGCATTCTTTGTCATTTGCAGTAGGTCGCGCTCCATTTCCACCAACGAAGAATACGCGTTCATTTGTATCTTAGTGGCAATCAGCCGTAAATCAATTGGATGCTCTATAACATCATAGTAGTCAGGATAAATCTTCTTAGACGGCAAAAGTTGAAACATGCGATGCATAGCCCTGTCACCTATCGGATCCGTGGCCGTCATTATCGATGCAAAAAGTTCTTCGTACTGATTGCAATCGTCGTCAAGATCCCCACCGCCTGGTTCAGTGCTGCTCGTCAGCCGACGCGCATTGCGGGGCGCACGTTTTGCACGTGGCTCCTCCTCCGCGAAGCCATTTGCTTCCATGATGCGTTGACGCTGAGTCTGTATATGCTGCCACAAAGCAACGGCGTCCTGAAATTCGGCCGAGTCGGGTTTATAGAACGCCTTTGCATTACTTATTAACAATTCCAGGTCGTTCATCATATCGTACAAATCGTCATAGGAATCTGTTTTTAACTTTTGTTGTACTTTCAGCAAATCGATGGGATTCACCACCACGTCATAGTAGGAGGGCTCTTGGCGGCGCTTAGGTGCTCTTATGAATGTATCGCACAACATAGATCCATCTTCTTTCTTAATGTTACGTATGGAGTCGTACAGCTGTTGGCACAGCTCCGTTGGATCCAAGCGCCGCTTTTTGCGCGCCGATTGTGTCTGCTGTACCGGCGATTGCTCCGGCGTCGAATCGTCTAGCAGAAGGGGATCTTCATCTTGTCGACTTGATATTGAACTCGCGCGACGCTTACGACTAAGCATATTTTTGCAGATATTTTATGGGAAATTTATAAATAAAATTATAATTTTACAACGACGCCAATACAAAAATTAGCGATGTGCAAACTGTAGGTATATCGAAAGCAAGCTATCGCATATTAGTTTTGCACACGATGGAAACATCGATAACACTCACGCCACTAACATTCTGGGGGTATGCCACTTTTTTATACCCTTGCTGATAGTTATATCATGTTATTTATTATCTTCATATACAATACTGACTAACAGACAGACAAAAGAAAATTGGCAAAGTTTAAGGCCTTATGCTCTCGGCTTCTTACCTTCCAAAAGAATATTGTTAATACGTGTAAATATATATTCTATTTATTTTAAGATCACAGTATTTATATAATTAGAGATATCTGGACCAAGCCTTGAACACACGCTAAGCCAGCAAAAAAAGCGCCGTCAAACTGTAAATAAAAGAAGTCAGAGTAAAATCAGTTCTGCATCACAGAAACTAATAATGGCTAAAAGCAGTGTATGCCAAATGAAAGAAGCTGTATTAATTTAAATTTAAACGATTTTTATTTTTATTATATCACATAACTTTTAGATGCATATGTATATGTACGTTTGTTGTTTTATTGTTTTTAGTGTGCAATAAAGATGATGAAAGGCGCGTTAGCGTATGCGCCATTTAAGGAACATTATTGTTGACATACATATGAATATATTAAAATAAATTATTTTGTTTATGATTAAGAATGACAATGAGACGCATGCGTTAAAATTCTTGCTTTAAATTAGTACAAATACGAGAATTATTGTAAAAATATGCATGAAATGGATATCGAATAAACATATCGACATTGACTATAGACTCAGACTAATAAAATTTTAAAAACACCTACAATTTAGCCTAAACCTAATCTGTTGACAGCAGTTTATGTTGCACACAATGTTTGTATACAAAATAGATTTGATAGATGTTCACAAATGTAAATCTTAGAACGTAACTGTAGCTTCCATTTGCCTGTGAGTGTGTGTGTGTGTGGGTGTGGGGGTGGGGGTGTCTACACGCACAAAGCGGAAATGCAGTTTAAATGCTGTGCGTACACTATAAACTACAACAATTAAGCACAACAATAAACAGCGCAACATTTAAATATCAATATCAGTTCTGTATAAAGTAGTTTAAATTCATGTCGGAAGCTGCACCTCCACATTCCTCTCTTAACAGTCCATCTTGTCTGCCTGACGACTAGCGGTGGTATTTCGACTACTCTTACGACTAAGATCGTAGTACTTGGCATATAAACTAGTTAGACTCGTAAAGGGCGACTCGACAAAGCGCCTGAGCAGCTGGTCAGCGTAACGTTGGCGCTGGCATGGCAAGGCTTTGTCGCGTCGCTGTCTTAAATATCAGTTGATGAAGCTCATGTAGTTAGTAAAGAGCACATAGTTCTCGACTAACCGTGCACGAAGCTCTCGTCGCACCGTCGCCGTAAATTTATTGGCCAAACACAGCGCTGTCGTTGTGCCAAATACTAGATTGTACAGCAGGACAATCTGAAAATTACCGAGCCACTCGATGGCTCCAAAGTCACCCAGCAGATCAAAGTTGGTAATACCTTGAAAAGAAAACCGACACAGATTAGCAAACACACGATAAGTATACATTCGTCTTGTTATACCTATGATCCTGCTTAGCAGTGGCAGCGCAGAGGACAAAACCAGCATGAAGCCACAGTTTAACATCAGCTGAGGCAGCGAAGTCTGTCGCCGTTTGGGCCTCACATTATTCATGAAGGGCATGCTGTAAAAACCCACCACCGAGGTGGCGCCTAGATAAAATATGAGACACACTTCCATGGCGGCGCCAACCGGTCCAAGCTTCGATAGCGATGAAATGCCAAGCGTAAATTGCTGAAAATACATATATTTAAATCTGTGTAAGTTTAATCATAATATGAAGACCTACCCTTGTGCTCAGCGGCAGCGCCTTAATGCCTATGAGCAGCTCCAGTGTGTTTTGCACGACCAGCAGTATGGTTACGGCTGTACAAAACAGTAACAGCAGCATGGCAAGCGGATAGACGAAGGTGCGTTGAAAAGTGCTCGACTTGCGCAGCTTGTCCAACTCCTTTCGCTCACTGTATAGCTCTTTCAGTCTTTCGTTTAGCAGTTGGTGTTGCTCATCGACATTCCCGACAAGCGATTTGCGTTGGTACAAATGCGCCAGCGAATGTTGCAGCAGCGGCTGTGGCAGATAGCTGTGTGTACGCCCGTTGCCATTTGTAAAGCGACTGCCCCGTTTAGCATCCGATATGCTCACATTGTGAAGGTCAATGTAGGCCAGCTTGCGCTTAACGCTAGCCTCCTCCATATAGAAGGCACTGAACTCCTCGTTCACGTCTCGCAGCAGCATGGGCCTAACCAGCACCTGGTTGACAACGCCAAACAGTCGCACAAATCCGTAAGGTGTACAAACTGTAAAACAAAGTAAGCGTGAAAAAAAGTAAACAGCGTTAGTCGGTTTCCAAGGCTGCCAAACAAACAAACTAAAATTACAGCCGGCAAACGCTTGACGAAACGAAATATTTTATTCATTATACATTATATAGCATAGCCGAAATGGAAGAGCATCACAATGATGATTTTGCCGATTTTGAGTCGACTCTGAAAAAAATCGACAACATATTGAAAGGTGAACCCGAGACCGATGCCAATGAGGAGCCAAAAGCGAAAACTGCTGAGGACTTTGAAAACATCGACGTGGACAAAGTGCGATTGACTGTACGTGAGGATCGCACTGTAATCAATAAGCGCGAGGAGCAGGCCAGGGCACAGACTACCGACCAGCAGAGCTTTATGAAGGAGGTCGAACGGGATGCCAATGAACGTGCACAGGCGCGTGCCAAACGTGAATATGAGGCGGAACTACAGCGCAGGCAAGTATTTGTTTAAGAAAGATCTCCTAAGTGTCAGTATAATCCTTAGTCAAGGCAACGAGGCATTTCGCAACGGCAACTATGAGAAGGCTATTCTACACTACAACAAGGCAATAGAGCGCGTTAAGAATAGCGCCATCACCTACAATAATCGCGCCTTGTGCTATATCAGGTGTGTGTTCCCATAACCCATGAGCCACAATCGTAGTTTTTAACAAAATCTTGTGGTTTGCAGGCTGCGCAATTACAAGCGTGCAATTGACGACTGCCAGTATGTATTGGACAAGTTGCAGGAGACAAATCTGCGCGCCTGGCTGTACAAAGCCACTGCCTATAAGCACCAAAATGATGCCGAAAACTTTGAGGACAGTGTTGCCCAAGCGCGCCGTCATAATCCCCAGCAGTTGGCCTATATTGAGAAATTTATCGGTCAGATTGGCGAGCAAATGTAAAGCATATAAGTATAGTTGAATGTATTGTACTTACTCAGCATTAGCATTACGCCTAGAAATGAGACACATGAATAAAGGAACGGCAGGTGAACACTGCCCAAATCTGTGAAGCGTAAACAGCGGAAATTAGCAATACATTTAGATGCCATCTATAATAGGAGGCGGTTCTGGGTGCGATCGGGCGGAACCGCTTCCTCTTCCCCGTACTTACTTAGAAACCAAAAGAACTGGAACTTTTCAATGCCAAACACTGCGCTGAGCACGGCAGTCAGAACTAGTACAATGATAGCCATCAATATAAATACTGTAAAGGTCTCGTAGACTCGCGCCAGGATGCCCTTCTTGTGGCCCACGAAGCCGGTCGATTCGGAGAAAAGATAAACAAATGGTAGAAAGACGAACAGCGATAGATTGGAGAAAAGGAACACATGATTCCACAGCCCTGCATTGGGAACCGAAAGTGAAAAGTTGATATAGAGTTATGTTTAATTTTTGATATAGGTTATATTCACCTTGTATTAGAGAGCTATTCAACCATTTGACGTAATAGCTGTTGGGATACAGCAGCAGCACCTCGTTACTCGCTATGGACACCGGCAGCAGCATGGCAGCGCCCTCGGCGACTGCCAGTGTGAAGGTGCAGAGCCAAAAGCTGTAAAGAGTTGATCATTGATTATGGGCATGTCTTGGGATGTAAGTGGATGACTTTGTCATAGCGCTCTGCCCACCTGTCCATATCACAAACAACAATACGTTACCTTATCCGATAGACCAGCACCTCGTCCTCGTCATTTGAATAGAGATCGTCGCGGTCGCGACGACGGAAACGCGAGACGACCACATACGAGCTAAAGTACAGTAGAATGATGAGCAACAAGAATATCTGCAAAGGGAGAAACGTTCTGTTAGTTGTCGATTTTGGGAAAATAATAAAACTTTGTTTTGTATTTATATACATTGCGCATATATGCATTCTTTTCTTTCCACAATTGTATTTATATTTGACACTTTTCAGATTGTTATCATAATTAAATATATACATATACGCATATGCTCGCGTCAAGGCCTTTCATGCAATCTACGTATAGAAATATATTTGTATATACGTTAGTCTCGACAGTTCTTAAAAAGTGAAACGTTTCGAAAGAAAAGCGCATTTTTTATATTTTGAAATCAAGAATAAATAAAAAAATATATATAAGCAATACCAGACCAATTCAAGAATTAATACCCTGGTAAACATTCACCTTAAGCGGCTTTGCAGATATTTGAAAGAGGTAAAGCTTGTAAATGCCGAGTTTGTGTGAAAATATCTTGGATAGTGGTCGGATAGCTTCAATATTTGGATAGAAAATGACATATTGTTTGACGCTGATCAAGAATTTATATTTACTTTATATCTTATTAACTTTAAGGGACCACAGATGTCTCCTTCTTTAAAACGCCCTACAATGGTAACAAAAACAATAATAAGACCATAATCGGAAAAGAAAAGGCAAAGTGGAAAATATCTCTTAACTACGCTGAAAACAATGCGCCGTGCTCAGGAAGGTCGACATGCTGGGGTCTTTAAGTCATTCAGTAATATTTTGTCATTTTTTACATACAAGTTTTCCAGTTGATTTATTTACACAATCTGATTTTGTCGTAATACGGGTCTTAAGTTAACGTAAATGGGAATTTCCCATGGCTTTAACATATATATATATAGCTAGGTAGTACATATATATTATTTGAAAAGTTTTTCAATATAAGCAAGCAGCTGATGATTAATAACTAATACGCTTCTACCGCAGTAAAAGTTGTGGCCAAAGGTCAAGAGTTTGTCTTTTGGAATATTTCTTATCAGCAGCCGACAACACGAAAAATCCATTGATAAGGATTAGAAACATTGCAGACATTAAAGCCAATTAAATGTCGGTGCCAAAAAGGGTTTCAGTTAAGCATGAGCATTATGTACATTGCTGTAGGAATTAATATATAATTATAATAATTAGTACGAAATGTTGCATGTAACCAATCATTTACATTATGTCTATCACGTATATCTTTATATTTAATTTAGTAAGATCATGTTTAACAATTATATTGTGTTATTTAAACTAATAGAGAAAATGAATTTATATAATTCCCTGTACTTTTTGGACACACCTTGGAATATGGCATGTGCCTATGCCTAATTAAATATGTATATATATTATTTATTTGCTGAGTATCTTCTATCAGATTTGATTAGAGAAACGCCATGAATTGGTTTTAATTTCTTAGTTTATTGCGGTACAATCCCGTATCAATTTAAAATAACTCAAAGGTATTCCTATGCCCATAGATAACAAATATAAATAAATGGGAAAAACAGATGCTGTCTGTCGTTTAAAGCACACGTCATTGCTTTTTGCGCTGCGAAAAATACAAAACAAAACGTCTACATATACATGTATCATTAATAAAAGACTTTTTCATGTTCCAAAGACAAAAAAAAAAAAAAAGAAGCAAACAACAACAGAAAGAATATGATCAAAACTAAACAATATATACCCATGTGTAGAATGGGCGTTCTTTTCGCCCATTCGTATTTTCCCAGCTTTTTGTCTGTTTTTCCGATTTCAGATGCCCGAATATAATTATCACAACTACATAAACTATGAATGTATATAAGGATGAAGTATGAAAGCTTTCAATTAAATTAATGGCGTATTGGGAGCAACAACGCTGATTGAGTTTGATTGATTTGATTAAAAGTATCCAATCAGCGTTAATAGCCATTATGATTGGCGGCATTGTATTTATTCGTGCCAAAATAAATATTATTACTCTCTCTTACTCCGTTCCGCTCTCAGTTGTGCGTAGTTTATTTTTAAACCCAGTGTGAATATAATATAATCCCGACTGACGTGACGTTTTTTCAAAGCTGACGAACTTGGAACGCATGGCCCAGTCCACATAGTAATGCGAGAGATAAGGCCCAAGCCTCAGTCTGGCACGAATGGTGAATGAATGCGATACGAATACATTTGAGTCCAGAGAGAACAGATTCGCACCGTTGTGTCCGGTTGCAATAAAAACACATGTGAAATATATATATTTGTTTTATTATCCAATGCATGAGGCTTAAAGACAAATACGAAAGATAGATTGCAGAAAAGTCGGCTCTATATACTAACCCCACCCGAACAAAGTGATGCTGGGAGCGCTGACAAATTCGACAAGTTCTGTGCAAACTAGTTGTTACCCGAAATGAGCAGCGAGTCAATGACACGATATGAACTCGAGATGAAAAACGCCCAAAACGCCAACATGCAATGCGTCGCATATCTTGGCTATAAATAGCGATGCACACTGCGGCCAAGGGGGGCAGCAGGCGTCTGCCGCGGGTTGCAGCAACAATCATAAACGCTGCCTACATGGGCGGTATCTTGTTGTGAAACTACATTGCCGGTGAATGGTCGAGCCGGTGGATCCACAAATACGTTTGGCGCACTTGCATTAAGTGAAAGATGTTTTGAAAATGGCAAAAAAAAAAAGCAAAGCTATTATTTATATTTGAACGAAACCATTTTTTGAGTAATGGGGCGCTTTGTTTGATTATTGACTGTGATTAAAGGCAGCGTGTTGCCATTTTTGCAAAGTGTACGTAAAGCTCAATTGTCAAAGTAAAAGCTACAATAAGTGAACTGAGCTCGGAGTTACTCGCATACAGTGCTGGCCAAAATAACCATACAACTACTTTGCACAACCTTTTAAGGGCACTTTAGTGTCAAGAATCCGAGCAGCTGTTAAGGCTGCTGTATCGAAGTAAGATTCTCCATGCAGAAGGAATCGAAATAGTACAATTAATACATTCAATTAAAAAGAAGAACAGGGGAATAGAATACTTTTTGAATTGTTGGTATTGGCTCTCCTTTTTTATACACTGTCCACAGAGTCATTAAGGGTATATTGGTTTTCTTTAATGTCCAATTGCCTGTCCTAATGAAGGCAATTGTATTCGACTGTGTATACTTTCCATTTTTCTCAGTAACCGTTTTATATGCATTTACTTAATTATAGGCTTAGTGTCGAGAGTGCAAAAACATTTTGATATTATTCAATTCGGTCGAGGGCTCCTGCATAATTTATGGGCGCTTCGAACGGGAAAGCATTGTGAATGCGACACACGTACTCTAATTATTGACCTACATACAAGCCCGGCATTATTCAATTTTCGGTAATGCATGCAACAACCAAAGAACAGTTGCCCCAACGGCCACAGGCTGTTCATTTCCTGGGTCAATTTTGACACTTGATGAACGTCTGCGAACAGGTTACATATACATACATACATACACACAATTGTATAAATTAAATAACAAATTGTTTAGTTACCTATTTTTAGCTGCATAAACAAAAGCGCCACATCTCATCGCACGGGCAGACACAAACAAGTTGTGTTGACTGTGTCATGCCCCGATGAAAATACCAAATTATATTCCGATGGATATTGTTTAAACAAAATGCCACAGCTGCGGCGCACGACTGCCACAGTTGGTCATACAGATTGAGCACAAATCGTGCCCGTTTGCCGTGCACTTGAAACTGTTAGCAAGTGCAACATTTGTGAACATATTTCAAAATGTTTTGTTATTCTTTTTCTTGCTGTATTTCTTAATTTGTAGCCAAACACACGTGCATACATACTTAACACATACACATAGGTGTTTATAGATTGCATTACAAGTCGAAATGTTTATTAATATACCCAAGCACTTTCACCTGTTGCTGCTGGCAGTGTATTACTGCTGTTCGTTTTTATATGCATGTATATATTTTTAAGGTTCAGTTTTTCAAGCTCAGCTAACTTATTCGCCGCCTTCAAAAGTGGCTTTTCTAACAGGAAATCAGTTGATTTACAGCCCAAATTGAAACCAAGTGACAGCAGCAGCGGCAGCAGCTATCGCACATTTCTACATTGTAGCCTTAGCATAGTTCGTAAATCGCGTAGCGTTTCCCTGATAAGAACCATAAACAAACTCACATACACATGTAAACAGCGATTATTCGACTGATTTGTTTATCATACGCGTCGCCGATCAACTGCAAGTTGAGGCAACATTCGCGACGCTTACGCTGGTGTACCAGTTAACAGTTACAGCTGCAACAATGACAAGGCGAAGGCAGCTGCATCAATTTGCATGGTACTTTTAGGGGTGGTGGTGCTGATGTAATGTGACGTCACAATAGTGATGGCAGTGGTTACTTACAATGTGCTCCCTCACTGTATTGTGGAACAGTTGCAGCTTCAGGTCTGTCACTTCCTCCTCCTCTTCCTCCATGTTCTTAAGGAAGAATGTTAGCTTGTCGTTTTGAGCCAGTTTCGTGTTTGTTTAGGAAGGCCCTCCCCCGCCCACGGCTAAGTTTCTTTCGTTACTGAGTGTAGCACGAACACAATTAAATGTCCAATAGTAACTAATTTCACTTTTCACCCGCGTACGCACGACCGCAGACCAAATAGATGTTGCTTATTGTTATTGCTTATTGATAGACTTTGTGTTAGATTGCATTGCTTTATTAAGTAATTAAATTATTAAAGAATTTAGATTTTCAAAGAGCACAGCATTTTAAAAATGCCCACAGTATTCCTTTACGCCGAAACAACCGTCGCACACAACCAAGCGACGTAAAAAATTCTTGCAACTGACCTGGAGATGTCAAAAACAAATCACTATCGAAACTATTTACGATAGACAATTTTCGATAACTGAACAATGTGCACCTCTGCACTGCCCTAGAGTTGACTATTTTTTTCCAAAATCAGCTGATTGTCAATGACGTAAAATAATGTCCCAATCTTTGAAGCGTCAGGCGAGTTGCTGCTTTAATAATGATAATATTAATTTAATACACTTAATATTTCTTATTTTGGCAAACAATAGGTGCTAAGCGCGTTCAAAAAGTTACATCGCACTCGCCAATATGTGTTTCAGGGCGATGACAGGGCTCTGTTGGCCGGCCGGCATAAGATAAACGAATCATTTCAGCAGAACCGGAACGAAACCAACGAGGAGGAGATTCGAAAGGTGGCATGCATATTTTTACAACACGGTAACAAACATTAATTTGAATATTTATAGATGATTAACTTAGCTGTGGAGGTGGACCACGAGTTGCGAACGAATGTAATTCAGGCCCAAAAACGGGATGACAACGTCTTTGGTGAGTAAATATTACATAAATATTTTTCCGTACTGATGATATCGACTATTTTACAGAGCTACGTATAACGCCAGAGACTACTCGCCTAGACAACGTGATGTTCGACCCCGATGCAGTGGTTGAAGCTCCACGCAGACGGCGGAATGATAAGTCCACAGGTTGTTGTGGTGGGGCAGCTATGGCTGCCCTAGAGGCTGAGATAGAATCGCGTAAGAAGTAAAAACAAAACACATTGTGGATATTAGTGAAATAGTTTAAATTATTTGTAATGTCAATACATTAAAAGCATTATTTTTTGCGTTTTTTTTTGGACTTGTGTTTGCTTTTTGCATTGCTTTTCTTATGTTTCGACTTGATGTGCTTCTTGCGTTTGCTACGATGATCCGATGAGGAGGAGCTGTCTTTGGAGCTATCCGAACTACTAGATGATAACGATGATTCACTATCATCGGAGGTGTTGCTGGATTCTGAGCTGCTGCTTTTAGTTCGCTTTGATTTTTTCTTAGTTTTGCTCTCCATTTCTACAGCGAAACGTCTTCGGTCTTTTGTGTTATCTTCTGATGGTTTTTCCTTGTAACTTTTCTCAGCGTTACGTCGGTGGCTTTCTGGATTCTCTTGGGATTTAAACGTGGGTCTGCAAATATATGTTTATTAAGCATAATTCGACATAAACGCATTACAAATTACCTGTTGTTTCTGTCTCTACTTCTATTACGTAAATTTTCCCGCCGCCCACGTTCTGGTGAGTATCGACTTCCGCCTCTGTAAGGCGATGTTGCCCTTCTACGTTCGTTTCGATCCCTTGATCGGGAATGACGTCCTTCATATCGTTCTCTATACCGAATATTAGGGTCTCTTGATCTTGAACGTTGAACATATTGGTCTCGAGCACGTTTGTCGCGGTCCTTTTGTTCTTGGTGTCGTAGCTCTCGAGCCTTCTTGCGTTCTTCCAAAGAAGTTCGATTTTTGCGTTCATCATTTCTATTCCTATCCTTACGCCCTTGAGTGCTATCCATTTTGCTCGGTTGACTAATATTTCCACTGCCATTCCTTTCTTTCAAGTTATTAAAGTCTAATCGACCATCAGCACCAATAATTCCTCGACCTTTTCCCCGCCAAGTCACCTTAGACACCGACTGCGAGAAGTCCACATGTATGCGACGATCGTCAATAAGCACATTGTCCATTTTAAAGTAGGCAGCCTCGCATGATTTTTGATCTTCGAATTCCACAAAAGCATACTGTAGGGAGTCACCTGTCTTCCGGTCTCGTATCACTTCACAGCCTTTAACAACGCCAAAGCGACTGAAAATTATCTCCAGGTCGTCGTCCGTGGTCACAGGATTAAGTTTGCATACAAAAAGAACGTTTTCTGGCGGGGCCATCTCCGCATCCGGCAAGTCCCCTACGATTTCCAGAATTGTAGCACGTGCCTTGGCTTCGCGTTCTGCCAACATCTCTTGCATCTCCTCCATGGATTTACCGTTGGTGTCGTCTATGTCTTCGTCGGCGGCGATGCGCCCATTTTTAAGCCTTTCGATGCTAGGAGACGGCGAACGGCTGGGGACTTGAAAACCACGGGGGTTTGGAAACGGATCTTCGAGAACGACAGTGTGAGTTATGCGTATATCCTGATATGGGCGAAAGCTGTCGTCCACTATTGCATCGTTCAACTTCCGAAGCAATTCGTGTCCTTCCACAACTTCACCAATAACGCAGTGAGTTCCGTCCAACGATGTCAGGTTTTCACCGAGCGTAAAGAAGAACTGGGAACCAACAAGATTTTTCCCGGCACTGACCAGCGAGAGTATCCCCGCACTTGAGTGGTGTATTTTCGGTATGTATTCGGCCTCAAAGAAACGTTTTTGGGAGCCTTCCACAACACCCCATACTGAGGAACCGCCATCTCCAACGCCACTGGGATCGCCGGTTTGAGCAATGAAGCCTTGCTGCACAGTGTGAAATAAGTTGAAGTTGTAGTATTTTAACTGGCAAAGTTTTATGAAGTTAAGGCAGGCAATTGGTCGCTCGTCCGTGAACAGGTCCACGGTCAAATCTCCTAGCGTGGTCTCTATAACCACAGACATAGTAAGCCGGTGCACAAATCTGCAATCATTTACAGAAACAGGCTTCCAAAAAAAAAAAATACTGCACATAAAGAGTGAGACCGTGCGCGGCAACCCAAGGCATACCAAAATATTCATTTCCCAAACAGTATTTTGATTGTTTTAAATCGGTTAATAATTTTATTATACATTTTAATATAATGTTGTTTTAATTTTAAAGTAATTTCGCGATGAATAAAAGCCAATACTGATATTTCCATGGTACTGCTACATATGCGTGCATGAGTTGTAATGATATAGTGTTTGGTATCTCCTATTCGAGTACCCTCGAATAGATTACATACATGTATTTTGAGCTCTAGTACCATTTCAAATTACAAAACAACTTAGCTTAATTTTATTATTAATGTTTCTTAGACAAACTTAACCAATCCATATAGCTTAAAAACAAAATAGGCATTTTAATGCCATTTAGCTTAATGGTACACCCCTGGTTTGGCCAAAAAATAGTCGCGTAGCCCTGGGCTATCGATACCTTAACCCTGATAGGTATTCTTATGTCGCCATTTTGATTATAGGAAAAATTGTAAAATTTTCTCAGTTGGCATACGGAACAACACGTTGTAAAATCGAGAAAAATTCTAATATTCTTTTTTTTCTAGAGATATTAGTGAGCTTTTTAACTAAGTAAAGGTTATTGTGTCATAGTTGTGCATAAGAGTAAACTAATATGCCCGAAATCGGCAAGAAAATCGGCGAGTTGCGGGTGTGTGATTTAAAGGATGAACTAGAAAAGCGCAAGCTGGAGACTGTCGGACCAAAGGCTGTGCTCATCGAACGCCTTGAAAGAGTATGTATACGCGAGGATTATCCGACAGTGGTGCTGGTTTACATTGTGCACATTTGTAGGCCTTAAAAGAGGAGGGCGTCGACCCCAACACACATTTAATTGTATCGGCTGCAAAGGCAAAAAAGCCGATGCCGATGCCAATGAAAGAATCTATGACCGATGTTGTAATCAAGGAAGAGCCCGTTGACCCCGAAGAAGAAAACCAAGCAGCGGGCGAAGAATACGAAACAAATGGAGACGGCGAAGACAGTGCCCATCACGCTGATGATGATGGGCACGAAATAGATCAAGTGGGCGACGTGGACGATGTCTGTGTGATATTAGATGACGATGAAGAGGAAGAAGAGGATGCAGAGGAAGCAGAGGAGTACGACCATGAGAAAAATGGCAATGAAGAAGCCATTGAAGGAGACGCCGCCGAAGAAGGCGAAGGACCTACAGGCGACGAAGAGATGCAGGAAGAGAATACAGGCGACACTGTAAACATGGACAATGACGAATCTATCAACCTAACAATTGGTGAAGACGAGCAGAAACTTTTACATGATGAGGTATTTTTTATTATATATGTCTGTGGTCGACTGCTAAATTAAACTTGTCGTTTCAGGCCCCTGACGACAAGTCTATTAAGTCGGGTAAGCATTAATTTATTCATATACCTTGTGCCACATGTAATGTGTATGTAAATCATAAATCATAAGTATAGTATACTAAACTGTCAAAATTGGGTTATTAGCCAATTTATCAAAGCGTATCGAAGCTTTTTGAGATTTAGTACGCCTAAATTAATTACCGTCATTAGTGCTTTTGCTGAAAAATCAATTTACCAAGAATTAGATAAGATCACTGCATAATGTTATTTTAAGACAGTGAAGAGGAATTCTGAAAAAAAGCTATCTTGTAAGAGTTGTTCATCTAACATACTTACTAATGGAATAATTTACAGTTAAACCGGCAAATAAAACCGAAAAATCGAACGCGGTTTCTAAGGACGGAGACAAAAAGATTCACAAGGATGATGAGAGCGCTCGATCAAAGAAGAAGGATGACAAGTCTGTTGATAAAAAGGACTCTAGGTTGGTTGTGATGAACTTCTACCCAATTGTCATTTAAAAGCATGCCCATTATAATTTTTTTTTAATACTAATAACGAATATCTTTTTTCTTTATACGTTCTTTTCGTTTCAAAATTTTTAACGTGGACCGAATAGCGATCAAAAGTTGGCTTCCAAGTCGTTGAACCAAAAAGACGATAAAGGTAATTTAAGTTACTATTTTACCAGGAAAATCGTGTGCTTGAAAGGTTATATATGTATATATATAAATATATACGCATATATAAGTTGGTTAGGCCATGCATGAACTAAGTAAAGCTTGCGAAATAAAACCATGTGCGGCACACTTGAGCAACAGAGTGTGCAAGAGAGTGTGAATTTGGTTGGGCATGGAATCATCAAATCTCAGCGATCAGCATTTCAACTTGATGGAATACTATCAGAAATCTAAAGCACTTACTACACCGGCTGATACTTCAAACCAGGCTCATACATAATTTATACATATTCAATCTAACATCCAATTTGGATTCAGTATGCTACCCTTCTAAAGGCCTCTGGATTGCCAAAGAGAGCTGTTTGATCATAAAATAATCTTAAAACAAACGAACGTTCGCCAATGAATTGGAGGTTACAATGATTTGACAATTGCCTTGCGCTGGAAAATGGAAATAAATTATCGAGGACGTTTTTCTTGCACAGCAAAAAGATTTTACATTTTGGCCAAATTCGTCGATTTTCATTAATTTACGCCAGGAGTCCTGCGTCGCGCTTTACAATCCAACTGTATTACGGACACCATATCATCGCCCGAAATCCACAATAAGCTAGGAAGGACGGACCCGTGTTTGAGCTGCAGCTTGTAATATTCAGCGGAACCACAACGATGATGACGGATAAGACGATTCCCGCCAGACGACGACCCTTCACACACGACAGCTGACGATATCTTAACGTATGCCACTGTGACTTATTGGCAATGTCCACACTGTACGAGATCCCTTTTAATGGTGGAAGCAACATGCGAAGAAGCGGTAGTGGGAGCATCAGCAGCAACCCAATCAAATTCACACTCTCTTAGCTTTCGTAGGGCGCAGTAAATAATTATGTACATGTACTTATAATGTAGAATCAGTCACAGGTTCGTTATGTCGAAAAATTACGATACAACAGCAAGCAGCAGCAGCTACAAAGTGTGCGTTTAAAGTGCTTCCCTTAATGATCAATGATCACAATCAATACCAAATACCAAAACAGTTTTCCAGCCACTCACAGCTCTGACCATAACTCTCTTCCAATATTGTTATTATTTACATGGAACTTGCAGAGAAAACATCGACAACAGCAGCGGGCGCAGCATCGGCATCGGGTGCCGCTGCCAACAAGTCGGGCTCGGGCGGAGGCGCAGTTGCGGCTGGTGCTTCGTCTAGTGCTGTTGGGAAGCAGGCGTTGCTGTCACGTAATCTTTGGGTGTCTGGTTTGTCTACATTGACACGCGCCAGTGACTTGAAGGCCATTTTCTCCAAGTTCGGCAAGGTGATTGGAGCCAAGGTGGTCACCAACACCCGTACCCCAGGCACACGCTGTTACGGCTATGTGACCATGTCCTCATCTGGGGATGCTTCGCGGTGCATTGAGAATTTACATCGTACGGAGCTGCACGGCCGAATTATATCAGTGGAACGCACCAAGAATGAAATCGGCGGCAGCGCAAGTTCATCCAAAGATGCTGGTAACAAGGGCAACAACAAGGCGAACAGCAAGTTAAACAATGAGTCGAAGAAGAAGGATGACGATAAAAAGTCCGGCGCTAAGGGCAGTGGAGATGATAAGAAGGGGGGTGAAACTAGCGGGGAGGGCAAAAACTCAGGCGGTGAATCCAGCAACAAGCGGGACGGCAAGGACAAGGAGCGCAACAAGCCATCACGCGACGACAAGGACAAGCCGTCGACGAGCAGTGACAAGCGCCACGATCGTGATCATCGCTCTGGCACGGGTCATAGGTCTCAAAACCGTGATGAATCCAACGAGCGCCGTTCGGGACGCCAACCACGCGACGTTGACCGTGAGATTCAGCAGCGTCAGCGTGAGCGCGAGCGACGCCAGCGTGAGATGCTATCTTATCAGAAGATTCGTGAGGAGCGGGAGCGCCAGCGTTTGCGTGAACGGGAGCGTGAGCTACGCGAGGAGGAGCGACGACGTCGTGAGGCACGCGAACGTCAGCGTATTGAGGAGGAACGTCTGGCCGAGGAGCGACGTAAGCTGGCCATCGAACGGGAGCGCCTTGAGCGTGAGAAGGCCGAACTGCTGCGCATGGAACGGGAGCGCCAGAAACTGGAGCGTGAGAAAATCGAGCTGGAGCGCCTCGAATTGAAGCGTCAACAGATGAAGTATGATAAACGTAAACGCGTTGCACACACAACGCTAAAAACAACAACACCATATTTATTTTTTCATATTCTCAAAAGGCATTTGGCCGTGTAAATTAGTGTATTAAGTTGCAGCAGCCACGTTGTTTCTTCAACCCGAAAAACTGCCGGGCAGTCTAGGCAAATGCTTTTGCATTCATGTATATTTATGCAACTGCAAATGAACTGCATCGTAGTTTAAACTATGTTTAACATATATGTACCGAATTCGTCGCCTATCTTTTAAACGTTGCTAATGTTGTAAACTTTGCTCTTTTCATCTTTCCTCACTTTCCACTAATGGTACTCCAGGATTATGGAATCACGTGATGATCCTGTTAAGCGTTCGCTAAGTAAGCGTACTGATGATCGCTATACCGATGTTACAGACCGCAAGCGTTCCGCTGTCTTTGATGCTCCACCACCGCCGCGCTTTGATGCTTCTTTGGTCAGTTCACGCAAGTATGTTATCTATTCAAGTGATGGCCTGGCCACATAATTCATAATGTGTATTAGACATATATTTACTCAACTGTATTTTTAACAGTACCAGTACTTATGACAAGAAGCATGATGATTATGGCACATCATCGGGCTCCAAACGTGGTCTTGATGACTACTCCAGTTCAAAGCGGCTAGAATATACCTCAAATAAGCGTAGCGATTATGGTAGCTCCACTGGCACTAAACGTGGTGCCATCGATGATTACGCAACGGTGCCGAGCAAGCGATCCGGCAATGATTATGGCTCGAGCTCCAAGCACGATTATTCATCATCTACTACCAGTAAACGTGATGATTACAAACGCGAGGTGGAGGTACGTCATTTGCCAGTTTCATCTGGTGGCGTTGGCACTGGCGGATCAAGCAGCTCATATGTTCACAAGAGCAACGCGGGCGGCGGTACTGGCTATGTGCACAAGAACAACACTGGCAACGTTGCGAGCACTTATGGTCACAAGAACAACACAAGCGGTGGTAATGGTGGGGGCGGTGGGCGCTACAATGATTCCGACCGCAGCAATACCTCCAATTACAGGCGTAGTGGTGTTGACGACATGTCCCAGTAAGCCCAAATCTCTTATTTAATTGAAGACAGCTGATGCTGATCTCCCTTTCTATAATTTTAGTAGCAACAAACGTTATGAGAACTCAACCAGCAGCGGAGCAGCTGGCGGCTATGGTAGCAACTCAAACAACGTTAACATATGGGCACCATCCGGCGGCAGCAGTAGTGCTCATCTAGGTGGTGGCGGCGGCCAATTGAAATCCTACAGTAATAATGGAATGTCGTCAAACATGCATGGCAACAACTCTTGGCAAAAGTCGACTACCCTTGATGACAACTGGCGTCCAATGCAGGCGCAGAGTCGTTTTGATCGCAGCTACAACGAACGCTCCAGCGGGTATCAGGGTAACAGTGGTGCCGGTGGGATGTATGGAGGTACTCGCCCGACACAGGATCGCTACGGTGGCCAGGTGGCTCGTTATTAGATGGCGCTAAAAGCACACAACTTATGAGGCAATTGAAAACCCTTTCTAATCACCAACCCAACAAACTTGATCAATTTTCCTTTAACGCTTTTGGCGTTTATGTTAATTTCTTTTAGTTGTATCGACTTAGCTTCTAAAACTACATTAAATATCATTAGATATATAATTAATATCGAATGTTTTAATATAAATATGGTAATCGAAAGTAGGTTAATGTAAATGAGAGTTGCACCATCGCTTAGTTATTATCGTTGTTACCATTCAATGTCTACCCTTGTTATGTTTTTGGGTCAGGGTTACGAGCATTATTATAAGCAAAATCTTTCCAAGAACGGAATACCATGTCATATAGCTGTGCGGGAATAATGGTTAGAAGAATTGATGATATGTCAAATGTAGTTTATAAAATATGTTAACTCAGCATTTACGAGCTTTTTCGGGCTTCCATTATAAGGCTCCAATATTAACAATCGGACGGGAATATGGCTAGAAATAATTTTATACACAGTAAAAACCGAAGCTAAGTGTGAAAGCATTTTCTACAAAGGGGTATATAAGCATTAAGAAGAGGCATAAAATCAATATATCTTCTAGTCGAACACTCAAACTAGATAATTGTTAATTGCCTATAACACATGTTGCTTATTTAAACCAACCCATTTCTATTTTGCCTCGATTGGGCGGACGCATTTCTTGAAAGGACAGGCACAAGCCCAAGAGTAGTTTTACTCTAATTAAAACACAATTTTCTGGCAATTTAGAAAACTTATATTATTGTAAAGATTCAAATCACTTTTGACATCATTTTAAATAATAGGTATTTAAACTGCGTTAAATGGGTACATTCTCACTCAAGATCGTTTTAACGTTATGAGCATTCTTAATCTGTTTCTGTCATTCTGCATGTTAAGGCATTAAGTTCAGTAGCTTATATAAATTAACTAATACGCTAAATAATTAACTTATCTTATTTGAAAAGTTGTACAACACAAGTGGCATACTTTAAACTGTATGCCTGAATACTAAACGCCAGCCAGCTCAACTTCCTGGGGTGGCATCCTCGGATTTAGTGGTTGAATTGGTCACTGGTTCGCCGCCGGCGAGTAAATCGGCGCTGGAAGCAACAGCCGGGAGCGCGGTCGTTGTGTTCGGCTGGGGCGCAGTGGGCGCCATCATTGGCATGGCCACGGGCACAACTGGCACCAGCGGAACAACTCCGGAGGGATCCACACCCGGGGCAGTGCTAATGGTACGGGCCAGGTTCATTTGCTGGCGCACCAGCTTCTCCTTTTCCCGAGCAGCTTTCAGCTTCTCAAAATCATCGCCGACATTCGGAGCAGCATCGGCAGCTGTGTTGGCCAGTATATCGTTCGATGTTTTGATGTCAAGATTTTCGACTGTAAGGGCAGAGAGTCGCGTTAGCTTATTTAACTATGTGGCATTTGGGATTAATCAAGATTAAGAAATGCGTGCAACGGCTAGAAGGATTACGGCTAGGCAAACTCTAAATACAAATTTGGAGTTAGGAGGGCATTACCTGGTTGAAAACCCACAACTGTTGGATCGGGTCTTATGCAACACAATACAAACTACCAATTCAAAAAAATTGCTAAGCTCTGGTTAGTATTTAATAAACAAGTCAACATATTTTTCGATTAAAAAAAAAAAATTATGATATTAAGAAAACTTAAAATATTAAACGACATCACGCAACAATAACAATTTGAGGACTAGCAACATTTACGTGGAATAAGCTGAGGAACGAAATAAATTATTTTGGCCAATGATTGAACTTTACCGGGCGTCACGAACCACCTGAAAATCTGCGCTGCATCGGGTCTCTCAATCGCTTTAAGTATTAACAGTTTTAAACGCGCATTCGTCGAATGTGTATATGTATGTGAGTGTATATGAAGATAAATGTTAAATGTGATTATCGGAAGCAGGAAGAGGAAGGCATTATTGGTACCATTCCCCACACAAGTGCTGACCACTTACCCGTCTCACGGCTGGCGGCCTTGTGCTGCTCGAACAGCGACTTGCTGCTGTCGCCCACCGGCGAACTGGGCGCCGTGGCTGCTGACATGAGTAAGGGACTGTCTCCGGCTGGGGCTGATGTGCTCAGCAGAGCATCCACGCCACCAGGCGGAAAGAGTGATGGCGTCGGATCATACTGCGAGTGGGCGCGCTCGTACTGCGGCGAGCGTCTGGGTATGTCCACTGGCTGGGAGCGTGACGGTGTTGCTGCTCCTGTTGCAGGCGGTGGCGGCTGCAGTGGCGCTGTTTGCGGCTGACCAGTGGCCGGCGCAAATATATCCTTTACATTGGGACGCGGATCGTTGGGACGCATCGACGTAATGGTGGCCTGCTCGTCCACCTCCTCAATGACCTGTTGGGTTATGCGCATGCTGCCTGCGGGCTTCACAGCAGCTGGGCCGCCAGTGGTGCCCGTTAAACTTGCCGAGCTGGCGCTGCTCGGGAAGCGATACTTGCCCGGATCTTCGGTGGGCGTGGCAGAGCTTGGACGGCTGTCGTCGCGACTTAGGAAACGTTTCAGTGCCGACGCCACCGTATTTACCCGGGACAGTGTACCCGATACACTAACCAGACTGGGCGAGGAGCCTAGCCCCAGCCGCGATTTGCCATTGCCTGCTGAGAAATGTATGCCGCTGGCGTCGTCGCCCTGCGAGTTGCATTGTACGAAAGAAACAATGTAAAACATTAGTTAAATGCACTTTGCTGTTAATGTGGAGAGTTCAAAGTGAGCATAAGTTACTTGAAACCGATTTGTGCAGTTTTTTTTCTGGGGTGCACAAAAGCAACTGAAAGCCGTGCAGTGCGTAGTGCAGTTAGAGGCTGTAGGCAAACAGATTATTGTTAGAATCAAAAGTTAGTATGCAGTCTTATAGTTTAAAGAGACACAAACACCAGAGTACAGTATAATTAGTTTAGTTAGATTAGTGATAATGCGCAGTGGTTTCTATATGTACATTTCGGCGAGCCTCTAAAAAGTTTATTTTACGTCCATTATTTAGTAGACCGATCTCTGTTATACCGATTACATTAAGAGATATTGGTTCAGATCTGTTTTCTCATGCTCTTGTCAAAGTTGATGTTAATTGACTAGAAGTTAAAGTATGTGTAGTTTTCACGTCTAGCTGACAACTTTGACAGGTGCATGAGAACGATCCCCAATGCTTATGTTAGAATCCACTGTTCAACATCCAATTCATTTTATATCATAAATATATATAAGGTTAGGTATAAATACCAAGCACCGTTGTGATTTGAAATGCCAATGATAGATCTGAATCCCATATGGAATTGTTTTTCAGTTTAGGATAGAAGAAGGTTAGAAAATACGTTTTGATCTGATTTTTGATTGATTTTGATTTTCCGCCACATGTACATGAGTGATGTTCATGGATGTACGTTTAGTTAAGGTAGCCGATTATTTGGTGCCAATACTTCGTATCGCTAGTGAATGCTGCCAACGTTTTGATTCTAACCTCCTCATCTGGCGCAGCTTTGGAAAGATCATAAGTAACTGTCTGCATAGGTGCGCCTTGTGGCTGTTCAGCTGAAGGCGGCTTAGACCCAGAGGCGCCGGTGCTATTATTACCAACCATTTCATCGATGCGCACAGATGACATCCCAGAGGTCATGGCCGCATTCTTCGGTACATCGATCTTGGCTGTGGAAGGCTCCGGATGATTCTCGCGAAACCGTTCTGCAGCAACAGTATAGGGTAGCTCATTGGGAAACACCTCGTCCCAGTACTGATCCTTAAGTAATTCTGGATGATCATGATGCATTTCATCTACAATCAAATAGGAGACTTGCAGATTGCGATCCACCATCCAATTAACCTACGAAGCAGACACTTATGAATAAGTTTAAAACTTTAAAAGCTACCATTGTTCAGACGTACTTCAAAATCATCATCATCCTCGCCAAAGGGATTGATCAGAGACTCAGCCACCTTGAGCCAGCCCATGTAGAAAAAGAACTGCAGCGTGGTAAACACTGGAAAATACAAATCTACCTTGTTCAGATAGCTACTGGTGCCCACGACTTTTCCATTCGTCCACTGCTGCCCCATGCAGCAGGTGAGGAAATAGGAATAAACAGCCAAAGTAACCACCTGTGTGTAAACCAGGGGCACACTGATCGTATCATAACTAATAAGCAGTCCGCACTGTCCTCGAAACTTGTTTAGTTCATCGATGATGGTCTTCACGGCGAAATCGTCCCTAATGCGGCCCTGTCAAAATTTGTAATTTTCATATTGTAGCCCAAACAAAGGAACAAAGCTGCATAATAGTGCTCTTGTTTATATTTAGTATTATTTACCTCTTTTCTTGCCCGCGTAATGATGCTGGCCGCCCACACAATTGGGAGCCAGTGCTTGGAGGGTCGCGGAAAAGATTTGTTCATTGTCTCAATGATTGTACGCTCGTTCTCATTGAGCAAGCCCGCTTCCACGAGATTGTTTAGGCCAGGAAATCGTTTCTTGACGCGTGGTGATATATTCGCCAGAACCATCGTGAGGCACAGGCACACATAGCGCATGATTGTGCGACGCATAACCCGACCGCGTTCATCCTGGCCGTGCACATTGGAGCTGACGAATACAGCGATTGGATCCGGCCAAGGAATAGATGTGTACTGATTCCACCAGCGTGTCATTACAATTGAGACATAGAAGCCGAGCACAAAGGACAGCGGGATGAGATCACGATAGCTGTTACAATAGGCCACGATCGCCTCGAACGTTCTAAGCGAAAAAAAGAGAAACATTTAATATGGACTATATTCGTTATAAATATGCACTTACTCTTTTTGGCTTTCATTGAGCGCAAAGCGGTAGACCAAATTCAGCAAATAATATAGTGTAAGAAAAGCGAGCAGATCCAGCCAAACTAATTTGTAAATACTTCCGCGCCACCTGAAAGGGAATTGGATATCAGATCATTATTATAAATAGAACGCACACGAAAAACCCTAATATAGTAGATCGACTAACATATCATCGTTTATGGTTTGGGCTATACCCTAAACTTATCGTATACGACGGACAATTTTATTAATGTGCGGCACCGCGTCTGGCATGTGTTCAGCAATATTCCTATAATTGGCGACGTCATCACAAAGCCTTACCATCCTGATATTGAACAATAATAATCATGCCACCGTCCACTTGTGGCTGACGAAACGTCATAAAAATAAGCACACACACATATACATACGTATGTATATGTGAATAACCTCACCATCATTTCAAATGAAAGCCTACTAATTATAAAACACGCTCTTATCACCAAAATTTTTGATAAAATAGCAAAAAAAAAAAAAAAAAAAACAAACACAATCATTTATGATAAACAAATGACAAACAGAATTTGACTTTGTATCGTTGCCAGAAAGATTTCAAGGTTTGCCGACGTTGATAATTTTAATTAAATTTATTATATGCACAGATGCCGTGCCTCAGTTCTTGTTTTGAATGTTATTAAAATTAGTTTAAATTTGGAAACAGTTTCAAAGTACAATCTGCTTATTGGCTTCTACTTATGTGCTTTAGTTCTCTTACCCTAAATTTGTATGATAATGTGTTAAATTAGCAATAACACAGAGCTTCAGTTACACTATCAAATCTCGGGCAGCCAGTTCATTGATTAGCCGTAACAATCAATGCAGCTGACGCTATCAGCGGATCATGCAAATAAGTGTGAACTACATTTACACAAGTGGGGGTGCAGATATCTCATACATACATTCAAACAGATATCGTTAGAAGCACTGGCTACCTAATATTAAATTATAATTCAAATTACATGCATGACAGATGTCAAACACATGACGTCCCAAACGGCTTTGATAAGGCTACAGGTCCAATAGAGACGAGGTGGATGTGCTGACACGAGTATCATGTGTGGGTGGAGTTGTTGCTGCTATCGGCTCAACTACAATCTAGTGTGCACAACAATTTAAGTGTGTGTGTGTGTGTGTGTGTGTGTGTGTGGAACGCATGGAAAATTCTATTACTTGCATTAGTTGCAATTGTGTGATGTCTGACGACTATCACTAGCTGTAGCCAGCGGAGAGTCGCTCAATTTACTGGCTCTGTCGAACTGTGTCAGTTCTTTAATTAGCACCAGACTTGCAATTTTACACGCTCCTCATACACAAGCATTTAGCACTGTAATTTGAAAGTGCAAAAATAGTTTTGATACACCTACATGTATATATATACAAGTATTGAAACCTATTATATTATATATATACTTTCCGCCTGCCGGAAGTCAAATTTTCCCGTTCCATCTACCGTAGTAGATATTCGGAATCGATAAATATACTTATATTGTAAAATGAAAAATGTACCTTTCTGATTTAAGAAAACTAAAGCTTTCCCCCAAAAAAAGTGAATTTTTGAGAATGAAAATAATTTTCTTGTTGAAATTAAGTTTTAGGCTTGTTAGTGGTATACAAAAGAGGTTTATATTGCCGCTGTTTAACAATTATTTATATGTATATTTTTCAAAATTTTCCGTCTTAGCGTGCACTTGCATCACATCATTTTCCTAGCTATAAGGGTTGGGTCAGAACAAACAGTTCTGTACATAAGTTAAGTACATATATTAATATATAGAGAATAAAATCTCGCACTTACCTGAGAAGCAGTTTGAGAAAGCAGCCAAAGCCACGGCAGGTGGCCACTTCACCTGTATATGTTATTGTCATTTTCGCAAGTTGTATTTAATTTTCTCCTTTATATTGTCAATTGAGATTTTTGTTATAACCAATGTTGGTTTTGTTCTTAAAGTCAGTTATGTTTTCTTATCACGCTTCGCGATTTAGATAAATGTACATTTTGCTTTGTTTTAATTGGGGCATAGCCAATGTCATCAGTTTACGAGGTGATAAATTTCTTAAATTTAGAGAAACAACAAAAACATATTTGATCAATAATGATAATAATAATAAGGATAATGAGTCAATAATTCATTTTTATTGTAACTGACGTGTAATCTGCGCAATGTGCAGATAATTACCAGCTAACCGGGGCAACAACAACAACAACAAATATAATAATATATTTGAAATTTAAAAATCGATATTTTCAACTGGAAGTCATGTAAGCATGCGACATTAAAATGCGGAATACAATTGAACTGCATGCATTGCATTCTATTTAACATTTCAAATGCAACAGTGACGAGCTGATTAATTTAATTGCAGCAATTTAAAAAATGTATGGAAACTTTAGAGAAGCTCCGAGCTCAAGCCAAATATATCAATGTATGTGTGTTGCTTTAGTAGCAATTGACGCAAATCGAAGCGCTGGCAGATCGCGTGTGGGCGATGCCATTGAGGCTGCAACAGTTCCAGCTGGAGGTGTCACTGAGGGTCAGCCGCATTTGAGTTCACATTAATTAGTTCAGCAAACAAATTTTACAATGTCACTTCAAGTCTCGTAAAATAAAGTCTTTAGTTTTTAAGGGCATTATCGTTTAATATGCAAGTGGAACTCATAAGTTGGATATATTTCTGGACTGTTTGTCTGTTGACCTCAGAGAATTACATATAGAGCCAGTGCGGATCTAGTTTCTTTCAATCAAACAGCTTTCAATGAGATTGAAATACCGAAGTTATTCTAACATGCATTTCTCATACGTTAAAAGAACAACAACAACAAACATGAAATTCCAATTATTACTACGGCATCTTGGTTCTGGGTAGAGGATATTAGCAAGGCGACACTCCGGACTAAAAGACCACTACTCTTATTTTTATTGGTATTTATGTACTTGGACACATGAGTATGTTATGTAGAGTGTATGTAAAGAGAAATGCATAAATAGTGTATTTAATAATGAGTAAAGATGAGCTCATGTGTCTCCCCTTTCGAGTGGGAAAAGTCTGTATTCAATGAGCAGTACGTTGATGAATTTCCGTATAGCAGAGAATAAATAAATAAATGGCATTCGGCGAATGAGCCGGTGAGCTAATGATCGAAATACACAATACAAACAGAGCTCAGAGCACAAATAAAATTGTCTACAGTATTCGTGGTATGTGTGCACGTTTGGTATGTGTGTGAGTGTGAGCCAGGCTTTTGGGTCTGGATCATGACATCATTTCTTGGCTTGTTTTACAGATGAAATTGGCCGCACAAAAAATGGTAGACTTTTTGTATACATACATTAGTATTTTCATATGTATATATGCCTGTTTACCTTTACCAATACAGCCATGTTTTTTTTTTGTTTTTTTTTTTTTTAGCACTTAAAATCGTAAATCATACAAAAACAAAATCTTGACGTAGCTTGCTGATTATATGCTGAATTTGGCTGCTGATTACGGGGCAAGGCTTCTGATATGTGTTTAACTGGATCACGACGTGCGTGCAGTTCGATTTGGCAGCGTGATCAACTAACTGTGAATTAGTGAGTATTTAGAGTATTTAGTTGTACGAATTTTAAGCGAACGAGTATAATGAATATGTATTCGATAAGCAAATGAGTCATTTGGGTCTTCTGTGTGCTTGAGCCGTTTCGTAATAAGTAAACAAAGAGACTTCCAAGAAGATGAATTGCGACACGAGATTTATCACAATGCTGAATAAATATGCCCTATTTAATATGCCTTATAAATAATATAATTAAATAATAAATCGATAGCTATATTCTTATATTTTCCTCTTTTTTTTCCTAGTTTATTTCTAAATAGAAATGTAGAAAAGTAGAGAGTGTTTCCAATTTAGTCTATCATTACAGGGAATCTTAGTGCATGGCATTTGTACTAACAATTATTTTCGTATTTTAATTTCTTTAATAAAAAAACCCTTTAATATTATTAATCCATTATAGTTAAATTGAAATTTTGAAAAGTATCATTTTAATTTCAAGCAATAATTACAGGGTATACTCTAACTTAGCATCCACAATTACATGCATAACTGCATTCACATGTTCACTCTTTATTTCTGAATGAATGCGCCTTATCGACAGGCTCAAAGACCTTTTATTATTATTAATCGCCTTTGCACTTAATGTTCTAACTGACCTTATTTATATTATTTACATATTCGCTCGCAAGTTGAACTGGAAAATAAATAATAGTACTCTCTACTGCTAATTGATTATAAGTTGTCAACTTTAAGCTCGCCTTGCAATTCCTGGAGAACCGTGCCCACACCTACATGCATACCCCATTGACGTATGCAATACCTACACAACTAACCTTACATTGTATACAAATGCTTGAGGCTTATATAATAGAGTGCATTGTTATCGTTGGAGTAAGTGTTTCTTGGATAACTCTTGACAATGAAAACCAACGACACATAAAGGCAACATGAAGGAAACCAAGTCACGTGAAAAATCTTATCATTTAAATAAACGATAAGTTTGTATTTTTACGGTAAATCAAAACAAACGACAACATTCGAACTCAAATCGTCGAGGTTAATGACATTTAAAGCAAAAACTGGCGACTGCTGCCAGTTCGACGGGCGTCTAAATATATGTATGGCATGTATGCAAACATATATTTACAGAAATGCACACACTTACATCTGTATATGCGCGTACATACATTTCAAACAGACATATATATGTAAGGGTATTTTTTTTTTTTAGTTACATAAGTGCTTTTATGACTTTTTATTGGCATTTGATTTTGACGAACTTGATGACAACTGAGCGGACCTGAGCAAAATTTAAATAATTATTATTTTGAATTAAGGCGAACTCTTTGTTGTAGTTGTAGTTGTTGTTGGTATTTATAGCATCGGCGCACTTTCAAATTTGAATACGAGTGTCGTCTAGTCGAAATTTGCATGCGGCGCAAATTTTGAGTGTGCCGAGGGTTAAAAATAAATTTCTATGTAGTGGAGTACTTTGTGCTGAGATTGCACATTGACCAATGCGGACTCTGTGATGACTCACATTGCGTTCAGCTGACATACAGACGCAAAGTCGTACATACATGCAAACACATAGAAACAGAACTATTTGCAATAACCACATAGTTACGCATTGCTATGGGGAGTTTCTATTAACCTGCATATCTATTAAAATATTTATCCTTTCTTTTTGGACTATTTGCAATCGATTCGCATTATAATGTACAGCAACCGGATCCATGCACACAATTTGAGAGTCACGCGGCTTACATAGACTAAGTAGTTATTGTTGGTTAGTGTTTGTTTGTGGGGATGTTTACACTGTTATTAAATCGCGCCATGGTCACTTACAATTGCTAACTAACACTGATGCACTTTGTAACTGAGATTTACAGCGCGGCGGAACACGCGAATACGGCAGCTCAACTGATCCAGGTACACGAGGTGCCAACAACAGCAACTCCACCTCGCATTCAAGAACAGAAAAAAAAAAAAAAACAAGACGCTGACGTTGATTGTTTGCTGGCGTTGGTGCTGCTGTTGTTATTGTTAAGTTTTGGGCTTATTTCTTCTTTATTTTGTTGGTCTTTATGCTTCACTACTATTTTGACGTCGCTGCTGCCGCTGTTGTTCTTTCATCCACACACACACATGAACGTGAACGTAGCTGTGGATGTGGCCATGCTTGTCGTGCCAGCCATTCAAACAAATCGCGCTCTGTGCCGTATTCTCTCTCTTACTCGGCACTTCCGCGCTCAACGACCGACGATTTCAGACTGAAACTGCCATGCGAAAATACCAACAGAACTGGGAACACTGTGCCGGCAGCTGTGGCGGAACCGCCAGCCCATGCCGCGAACGCCCGAGAGAGCACAACTGGTTGTGAGCGCAGAATGGCGATAAGCCTGGCACAGGGTTGGATTTAGCACTGTTGAGGGTAGGCGCCGAATTTTTGCTTAAACGCATCTAGATTTCTCTTCATTCGTTGAGTATATCTACCACATATAATCAAATATTGTTTAATTCAAATGGACCAAATTGAAATGTGATTTGTTTATTTATGGTCATAAAGAAATGAAGTCGTACATTATCAAAATTATTTTTCAAAAGCCGTTTATAGTTTATTTACTAAGTTATTATTTTTTCTCTTTATGTTAAAATGAACTAAAATGAATTTTAAATTATTAGTGAGACAAATATATAATATTTAAAAACAAAACTTGGGTAAATTCATTGTGGAAGACCATCCGCGGCTATACCTGCATAAGCACTTCGTTAGCAACAAGAGTATGTTTATGTTTATGTTTATTTGTGTATGTCAAAAATAAATCCTGCATACCCAGAATTGCCTCTTAGCTTTGATGCTGATGAAGAGTAGACTAACTTTTATGGGATCAGAGTTTGACAGTAATATGTATAGCTTCAATAAAAAGGGCAAATACTTAAATTTCGATTATTTAATTCAAAATATGAATATTATTGCAAATGTTATTATTAATATCACTATTATTATTATTATAAGAAAACAACATTTTAAAAATAACATTTTCTTAGTTTAGAAATTGCACAGCTTGTAACCTTTGCTTTAATTTTATTTTTTTTGCTGGTAATATTATGGAAATGTTTTCTTGTCTATCAGCGTATTAAAGACGACAATAATAATAAAAGCATACGAACAAGCAGAAGAAAATATGTCACTAAAATAAACATTCAGAGATCATTGCATACTTTTAGGAGTGCATTCATTATATACAACTACATGGACAAATATTGTCGGCAAATAAATCAGCCAACCCGAAGTTTTCAATCTCGACTTAGTTAGAATACGGTTGCAGTCGGAATAGATTTGTATGCGAGAAAAATGTTGAAGCTCATCTCTTCAGAGAATTAAATATCCATCATTTTTGGCGGTGTTCACATTTGCAAAACGCCGTTGACGCCTTAGTCGGCTAGAGGTTTGGCTTTCAATTTGATTAAAATTATTAACAAAGTAATATTATTATTATTAATAATGTAATATTATTATATACACGTCTGCGCTGTAATCTGTAATATGTTCTGTTCGTGAACCCGTTTCGACACGTCCATTTACATATGTAGGTCTTGGTCCGTCCTAGGTTTGCCACCTATTTCTAAACTCTATATATAAAACTGTCAGATCAAGCTGACCTTTTCACTTAAGTTAACTATGTGTTGAAGGGGCACGCTAAGTCGGAAAATTTCCGATTCATGAGAGGGTTGCTTATCTTTTTAAAATAATATTCGCAACTATTTTGTTTGTCATCTGATTCGTGTTTCACACTTTTCGCAAAATCTATCCCTCTTGGATTCAAAAATTGGGAATTCCTTTCTAGCTTTTTTTGCAAAGTTATGTGTGCGTCAATCACAGATATTCTTGGAATGTCTAATATGCTTACTTGTAAGGGGAGCTACTCAGATAGAATTGTTTCTAAGAAAATAAGAAACATTTATTTATTTGTTTATCTTGTTACTTTATTATCTCGATCAATCAATTTTCTGGTTTTTAAATTTAATATATGTTTTATTCTAAATTAATTACAATTCGTAAGTTTTACGTTTAACGCACTTTAAGGGTTTGTTTAACTTTTTAAGCTACTTGCATATTTTTGCATTTCGAGTTAGTGATTTTGCGTGTGGCTTTTTACATTTATTTATAACTTTTCACTAATACTCGTACAGATTCGCTCGAACTTATGATAGACTAATGACTTATGTTTAGTTGTTATTTAAATATTAGGCAAATTTTAATGAAATATATAGTATTTGTTTTCATTTAGTATTTTACAGAGACATCATTTGTTTTAGGCCTATTTCCAGCGAAGAATTTGGAAAAGTTTTAATAGACTGCTTTTAGTTATATACATTTGAGACTTACTTGAAATGGGGAAAACGTAACTAAACTATGTTAAACTTTAAAACTGTCACACTTTGACTTATGTTTTACATTTTTATATGTTACTGGGCGGTCCGCGATGCGCACGCTGTCCATGCAACGTGGAGGAATGTCTAGAGCCGGGTCGTGAATGTACAATTGCATAATCGTTATCAATTGGTATAGACCTTCGAAGTAGTACGTTGGATAAGTTTGTTGATAAGTTTCATACAAAATCATTATCAAATTATAATATGTGGTGTATTTAAAAAAAGGATTTGACAGTTTAGTTAGCAAATCTTTAAAGTGGACTGTTAGTGTTTTCAGGTATGGGCCAGAGAAAATTGTACGTTCTATTCGATAGGTTTAGTTTAGGTTTAAAGTTAGTCATCATTTTAAACAAATGCAAATTATCAACGGTTAATTACAGTTGCAATACAAGGCACGAAATAAATTCATTCCATTCTTTTATGTCTTTTGTTTTTGTGAACACAAGTTGTGTTGCTTTGTTGTAGTTGTTCTCCAACAGGGCTTCAGGGCACTTCAGTAGAATTAACAATAGATACGAATACAACAAAATACGATACATAGATACGATACAAGGCTATTTGGGCATGCGTTATATAAAGATACATCTATATATATATATATAGACATATATATGTGTCGGTGTGTTTGTGTGTGTCTGTGTTGGCTCCACAGCTACCAGAAAAAAAATGTTTAAGAGCAGAGTAGATGCATATCAAGTGTAGAGTAGAGCTTTTGTGTTCTTGTGTGTTTGTGTGTGTAGTTTATAGATCAGCTTAATATCTATCAGACCTATTTGAGTGTATCGTCGAGCCACCGCTGGTATAACCCTTGTGCGCATCACGCCCATGTAGCGAGTAACGGGAGCCATATTGGCTGCCATGCCAGCTGCGGTAAGGATCGTATTCCTCGATGATGGAGGGCTCCTTCTCAATGATCTGCAATGAGTAGTACAGGTCACACGTATAACAGACTTGCATTCGAAATGTTTTTAGAGCATAATTACCTCTGTGTTGGCACAACTGCAACTCATGGCAGTGCAAAGGAAAATGTTCATTAGCAACATGATGAGGAACAGTACGCCCAAGGTTATGGCCAGCCACAGGAGCCAGCTGGGTCGTATGCCATCCTCGCAATTCGGCGAAATTACTGCAAAGTTGAGAAATTGTATTATCATTTCGATTGATTTCAGATTTAAATTTTTCTATTCTATCTTACGTCGCGCTTCGGCGGGATCCAAAACGAAAACAGTTGTTCCCGCAATGCTGGAACCTTCCTCATTGGGTCCAAACTTGCGTGGTCCATTACCATTGCCCTTTGTGAAACCAGCCAGGGCCACCTCGCTGCAATCGTCAATTTCGACGCAGCGTCCATAGCACTGTACGACGTCACACTGCAGATGAACCTCGGATCCTGAGAAGGCCATTTAGAATTATTTCGGTTTTCGATTTGAATCGTATAAGCTGATTTCGACTACCTACCCTCGGGAAACTTGAACATGGAGGCTAGCGTAGCCTCGGCAGCTCGCCCATCGGCGGTGGGCACAAAACGGCTCATAATATTGGCATCATAGGGGCAGCTGTGCATGAAATATACCGTTAGTTGACTGACAGCTCAGGAGCTGATTAAAGATTCAGTCGCACTTACCCGCGATCATCTGTCAGCTTGAGGGTGATGTTCTTCTTGTCAAAGGCAAAGCAGTTGCCCACACGTAGACCATAGGTATCTGATAATTGGAGGGAATCTTTATTAGCACACACTCCATATAAGGGACTTTGTGATTACCCACCGTTTGGCTTGGAGAACTCAGCGCGTATTTTATACTCGTGTCCATATACTGTTTCGCGCACGCGGTGATCGTTCTCCAGAAACTTGAGCACAACATGGGCATTGTCATCGCTGTAAATTTGAATGGGAATGGAAGTGGCACATTAGTTAACGGTTTTCTAGGCATACTTCCCCCATTGCGCAGCTGCACCTGCTAATTAAAAGCGCAGCCAATAGACCCAAAAGTGCTGCCCACTGCGATTCGCTTGCAGTTTCACTGGCCAGCAAACTGCACGAGCACCAGCACCAGCATTATGCAATTGCCGGTCATTACGTTATAGACAGTTGCGTTTTATACCAAACAGACATACCAACATATGCAATATTATATGAATAGGTTTAATTTTCGCTGCCTTGTTTGCTGTTTTGTGCATTTCTGTCAATTTTTTTTAATTTCCTTTTGGCTTACAGGTTTTTTTTTTTTCCTGTGTGCAGTTAACAGAGCGCAACAATTTGCAGAAATGATTTTTTTTTGAACATACCCATATTTTTCTAAATTGTTTTTCTATTTGTGTGGGCCTGTTTTCATTGAAGCGGTAGTCGTACAAAAGACTTAGACAACGAACTTGCGTAATTCAAAATTGTAGCAAAGTCATTGGCATTATGCAAATGAGGCAAAGGCAAATTAAATTGTTTGTACAACTCCAGATTGTAATCTTTAAGAGGCACCATAAATAATTTACCGTTAATTGAGCACAACATTTGAGCATGTTGTTCGTGTGAAATCATTTGGAATGTCCAGCATTGGCAAAAAGGTGAAAAGAAAGGCAACACCTACGTGTACACATGTACACATATATACTTATGTACATAAAGCTCAGTCAGCATAATTTGGTTTTAGATTTCATTTGTTGTGCGCCGACGCCGAAAACAAGTTTCGTGAAATAAGCTGAAATTGGCGAAGCACTTTGGCCTGACGGAAGCTCGGCCAAATTACACCTATCTACATAGAAGTGCAATTGTCTAGACAGCTAGAGTTTGGGTAGTCAAACTTACCGAGTATAGCCCGATTTGCCACAGGTAATCACATAAAATTTATCATCCGCCAGTTCAAGAGTCTTATGCACACGCACCGCCAGCTGAATGGACCGCTCCTCCGTGCGCTAAGGGGGACAGAGAGACAATGAGAGTGAGAGCGTGAGAGGGGGGATAGAGTTAAATCTTTAGTTATTAAAAGTGTACAGAACATTTATGCTGATTGGGTTTAAAAAGCTACGTTAATAAACTGAGCTGCAGGCGTTGGGAGCGCCTCTTAATAACCGCCGGCTTTATGGGGCTTATTGGCTAATAAAAATACCGACCGACTCCTCGGCAGATCCTACAACTGCTGCAGTCTGTGGCTCTTGTGGAACGTTAATTGTCATCGTGATGTAATTGCGGCCCCGCAACAACAACAACAACAAGGAAATGCAAAATGCCGCCAAGTGTGACGCTGTCAGCCAACAAGCCACGCAGTCAGCCAGCCAGGTGGCCCCATACTAGACAGACATATTTTCCAGTTGTTTGTTTATCCTATTTAACAATTTTCTCGGCCATGTTTACCATTCTTCTGAACTTCATTGAATCTTATGCTTTGCAGCCGCTTTAATAGCTGCACTTTCCAGTTAATGAGTTGGCTGCCGCTCAGTGACTTTGCCAGACATTTCGGTAATAGCATGTTTGCATTTCATTTCGAATGCCGCCTGGTATTTGATATAATTTAGCGTTTTAATTGTGCAGCCACATGTAACTGCCCGCGCCAGCATAAGAGACGCGCATTAAACGAAAGACTTAGGCGAGCAACTTGTTAGAATGCGCTCACACTAGCACAGAATTGAGATATTCGTTATAATTGCTGCTCATCATTATGCAAGCGGCAAGTTAAGTTATTGGAATTCTTGAACTGTCGTTTGCCAGCTTCCGTAGGGCATATCAGTGGAGTACTGCATATCATAAGTTGTTCAATGATGAGTCACATAGCCTTGACCCGCAATTGACAGCAATTAAGTAATACAGCAACTGCCATAAAAAGAGGCAGCTACAGCTGACCAAATGAGGCAGCTTCTTATATAGTAATTACACATGTATGTGCACACAAATACTGGCATTCGTATATTTATGTATATGCATCCGTGTTGTGTTTAATTTACAATTTTTACTTGTCCCATTTAGCAGCTGCGAGTCGCTCGAGAAACCGGTTTACTTTTAATATGTATAAAAAATTATATTTGTTTTATCTGGTTGACGTCCCACGCCTGCGCTAAGATCTTTGCATACTATATACGTATTAAATGTTGTCAGCGTTTTATGAATGAATTTAACCTTTAAGGTTCGAGTCTGATCAGTGTTCTTAGCTTATGACTCAACAAACTAGAGAAGTATATAAGTATGTAAGTAGAGGCAACATTAGTGGAAGCTGTTAGCAAATAAACACTAGATAAGTGCGTATAAATACCTCAGGCACAGCTGCAAAATAATATCAATTGGGTAGAGATCGAGTGGCAATTGTGTCACAATTTGTTGGCCAGCTCGTGCATCAGGATCGAGAAAAGGTAAACCAAGTAGAGTGGAGCGATTAAATGACGAGCTCAGCTCCAAGGTGAAGCAATGCAATGCAATGGCAGAATGGGGTGGAGTGGCGTAAAGCAGTGGAGGAACAGCTAGATAGACAGCAGCCAACGGATGAGCTCATTATCAAGTTATTATCAAACCAAGCAGAAGTCGAGAAAATTACTGTGTTGATTTTCCATATGCGATGCGGCTCGGCGCACAGTTCTCGGCACAGCTCGGAGGCTATGTTCAAAAATTACCAAATGGTAAATTGGCATACAATTTGTTGTTTGTCTGTGCTATGCAATTAACATTTAAATGATTATAATAATATTGAAGAAAGAACACACTGTAACACCCATCATAAAATAATGGCAAACAATTTGCGGGCAAAGCGACCCACTCGCTATACGAAATAAGTTCAAGTACACTAAACTCAACCCACAATGGCAACAATAACAACTTGAACTTTATGTTAAATTGCCGGCTGGCTGCGGCTTGGGCGTCTTGCCATTGTCAGCGCCAATTTCATGCTTTGCCAAGTACGGCAATGCGAGGGCTTTGCCATAAAAACCAAATCAAAGAGATTACGGCGCTCCAAAGAGGCTGCACATAGCCCAGGCTTCAGCTGGGGCCAGTGACTGTGCTTGTGGCATTGGCTTAAGGCTCCGTCTTCATCTCTTTTGTCTGACTCTGACTCTGTCTCTGTGTCTGTGTCTCTGGAGTGCTTGGCCAAGGTCAGCCAAAGTCACGGCATTTCCAAAGCAATTAAAGCTCTACGAAAATATTTGCCAAGAAATAGATTCAAAATTGCTTAAGAGCTTTGAGTACACACAAAAAATTCTTTTGACACAAATACCGAGCACACGCCGAACAACGAGAACAACGAGAACAACATGAACAACAACAGCCTGGAATGCTGTCAAAGCCGAAGCGTGGAAAGCCGTGTCTGGGCATGTGAACTGTCTGCGACGGCAGCCTGGGCCACGGCTAGACGCCGGCGCGCAGTCGGCACTCCCAGCTCCAGTTGTTGCCCGGCAGTCTTACCCTCACCCCTTACCCTCCACACCCTCATTGCCAGCCAGCTAGAGCTGAAATAAAACTAAAGCTGGCGTCGCGATAAGCGTGATTTAATTTTATGGGGGACCTCCCTTTTTGGCCGGCAAACGGAAGGTGGGCCAAGAGCTCTGAAATAAATCTGCTAAACCTATGCAGGTAAGCCTGATATTCTGGGACTCGCAGCTGTAGTTTATTTATAAAAGTGGGATACAGGGCGCAGCCTTGTGATTTGACATTGCAATTAATAATGTTGTACTCGTATGTGCTTAAACTTATAACATGACGCGTTTGCTGATAATTTGCATTTCGAAACTGTTCAGCACACTGGAATATAATAGATACACCTACATTTACACACACGCACACACACAGTGTGAGGTAAACACATCGTCTTACACGCGTATTTATATCTGCGATATCTGCTTACATATGGCGTTGGCTAATGCTAATGGCTCTCTGCCTGGGCCCTGACTACCTTTGTCTGCCATTGTTCAACTTGGGGGCTGCTTACCCACACGCAGCCGCCGTCTGTCAACGCCCGTGATGCACGTAGGATTAAACTTGATTTTTATTGCCATCGTTACTATATAGACTGACGACTAGTTGTTGCCGTCGTTGTCGTCTTCTGATTTGCCTTGATTTGGGGCCAAGACTCAAGTACACCAGATACGAGGCGCGCTTAAATTTATGGGCATGCGTGCCCCAGGCCGTGCCCTTTTGCAGCTAGCGATGGTTGCGTCGCATGCCGCAGACAAGCTCTTAGTGGAGCATGCTGTCCGACTATGCGATACCTGTCCATCATTATCTTGCTATTTGACATTATTTTTATTGTTCCATATTAATTAAATTGCTCCCATAACAAGTTAATGCAAAACTTAAATTTAAGGAGCCTGCTACATTAACTGCTTATCGTGACTTTCACAGTCTAAGCGTAGAAACTGGGTAACTTTTTTCTAATACGCGGCTATTTAATGTGTTTGATAGCCGAAAAAGCTGTGACTGAGCGCATTGCACAACTTTGTTATTTTCTCTTCTTTGCTTAATTAAAATTGTAAATCACAGAAGATAACGAAAATTTAAATATCCGACACTTACTGATTCTTAATTATGAATAATTGATTCACAAATTTGATTTGATTTGATTTGATTTAAAAGACAAAAGAGATCCATTCAATGGGTCGGAAGGAACAATGTATACCTGTTTGCCGGTATAGTTGGTGTAAAAAGAGTACTTGAATTGAAGCTGGAAATCAGTTGTTTGTTTGAAGCAAAATAAATTAAGAAAAAACACACTAATGGAATGGAGCTGGCTATCTTAGAGGTTAATATCGTTAGGCAAGCGTTGAATGGTTATGCTTACATTGCTTCCACTCACGTTGCTGACCAATATGCCGCAATAGTCTGGCGCTCCTTGCTTGGCCCACAGGTTGAGGCTGAATGCAACCGAATCGCTGCCGTCGCCCATGGCCATGCAGGGCTGTGTGCGATGATCCCGCGCATGGACGGCGCCTGTGTAGCCGGAACTGAATTTCACCTTGATGTTCATGGTTCCCGCCTTGCACGTGGCTGTTACATGGGGCGCAAACTCCCCGGGCACCGCCGCCGGCTCCTGTGCGGTTATCTGTAAAAGGAGAACAAAGTGATATAAAGTTTTTGCTAATTAAGATGACCTACTTTAGGGACCCTGGGAACGCACTTAGGAGTATATGGTAGAAATTTTTTTTAGCCAACTCATTGAGTAAGCATGGAGAGCCATATGAACACAAGAATTCTAATTAATTTTAATGGTTAGCCAACGAGTCAGCAAAAGTCGCAATTAATTGCAAGCGGCAACGGCAATAACAGACTCGAAAGCTTGGAACCTAGAACTTTGGCTTCCAGTTTGGTTTTCTATTTGAATTTGAGTTCTTTAGCGGCCACAGCGGGCCGGCAAAGCTGTATGCTGCACGTTTTGGGCCAGTTTCAGGTCCAGCTCCAGTCGCGCACTGTCAAAGCCATTTGGCTTGAAGATAATTTATTGGCATGCTCTCAACTTGGGCAAGTTGGGCAACTTGGGTTGCCGTCGCGACGTCGTGATAATTGAATTTGTGCTCCAGCTCCAGCCAACTGCAAAGCCAAAGCTTAGCTGGAACTGGCGTTTCAGACCGTAGGCGCTAGATAAGCAGCACAAAAGTTAAGTAAGTCATGTCATGACAATCGCACTGATGCCGCTTGCTATTTTCTCTTTGGCCAGCTCACGTTCTTGGGAGTCGGCCCTCAGGCTGGGCCAACTATCCGGAGCGCCTGTCTAACGAAAGCCGAAACAATTCCCTACGCCTGACAAGCCCCATTGATTTATGTATATTTACTTTCGAAAGGTGCCCAGAGAAATGAGAAAATGTTGATCTACAGTCAATTCGGCAACTGCCCGTTCATTAAAGCTTTTAATATTGCAGTCGACTCTGCTTTTGATTCTGTTGCGGCTACTGTGCGTCAAGTGAAATTCAGCAACGAATCGACCCAATTTCAGCTGCAGCTTGTGTATGCCAAAAACATGTTGGCCAGTGTGCCACTTTCTAAGCTACTTTGGAGCTTGATGCCAACTAGAACGTCCACTTTGCATCGCATAAGGAATTTATAGCTTTGTAACTGCAGCGCTTGTGGGCCCCCCCGAATATCCATAATATTGTTTAAGCCAAGTTAAAGGCAGTCCGCTTCCTTTGTCCCATGCTAGCAATTATAGCCACATCTTTTGGCGGCGCAGTTCAATGCGCGCTGCCAACGCTCGAGGGTCACATACAGCACGTAGCAAATGCAATTCCAATTTTATATCCAGCTCCAGCTCCAACTGCAACTGCAACTCCCATGACAATTTGTCGCTTGGCAAAATGCAATTGTTTTGTATGAATTTTGCATTTTGCATTCAGTTACAGAGACCGCGACAAAGCCTCAGAGCCTCAGAGCCTCAGCCGGAGCCAGTCAATTAAAATTGTTTTTGCATGCTCGTTTCGCTATCGTTGGGCTTGTTAAAATCGCAACAAAAATTGTTGCCAGCTGTTGGCCTTTGTATTATGCAACACGCTCTGATTGTTGCTGGTTTTACATAGAAACAAAATAAAAAAAAAAAATAAAATAAAAAAAAAGCCAACAAACGAAAAAAAGCGAAAATCTCAAACACAATTAGACACTTGCGCTGTCAGTCACGGCACAGCCATCGCTCCAGCTTCGAGCACCAGCGACCATTAAATCCAATGAGCCGAGGCTTTGATTTTGATGGATTTAGACTGGCTCATGTGCTCAGTCATTAGCCACTGCCGGAGCCGGAGCCGCAGCCGCAGGACACTTGGGTGATTTTTCATAAAATTCCTTTCAGCCTGCGATTACTGGCGAAACAAAAGACTTACAGCACAAACTTGTTTGCCGCACCGCATGTAAATCGTATCAAAATCAGAGTCAGCCCCAGCCACGCACAGCTGGAGTTACTTCCAACTGGACTGGCTGGCTGGTTGCCGGCCTGAGCCATTAAGCTCTGCCCACTGATAATTTATATAGCTGCAAGGGGTCAAACACTGTTGCCGTAAACCAAAAGTCTTTTGACACGGCTTTAGCTATTAACTATTAGGAACAGAAATGTGTGCAATTAGTACTAGAAAGTTGCCGGCGAGTAGGCAATTAACTGCTGAAGAATGACAAAACTGCAAGAAGCAATGTGAAATACGAAGTAAATTCAAAATCTGCAAGCAACACCGGAGTACATATACGCTTACCAAAAGCTAACAGTCTATAAGCCAAGTTATTAAATAAGCTTTGCAAGCTGAAATGTTAAATATTAAACGTAAGAGTGTTCTATTCAAGAGTACGCGACTTAATATCTTTATAAGAACTAATTAGCAATAGAAATGAGTTTTTTATGTTGTGGAGCTGAGGGAACAAACTTGACAACTGTTAAATTAAAGTTCGAATTTGAAATATTTCCCAGTCAGAAACTCTTAATGAGAGCACTAAGATCTGTTTTTAAAGGCATATTAAACTTGTAACTGATAAGGCGTTACCACTTGAACTGCATAGCTGCAATGCTCTTTCCAAAGCAAAGTATGACAATATGCTAGTAATTTATGCGCACAACTAATTTAACTTAAATTGTGGCCAGACTTCTTATACAAGCGCACACACACACTCTCCTATTCCGGCTGGGTGTGTTTCCTTCTGCTGCCTTTTTGGAAAACATTAATATTGCGCAATAGTTGCTGAGCGATACAATCACCAGAGCCTGAACTGCGACTAGGCGATTGCAGCTGTGCATATTTTCGACTGATTGCCAAATAAATTCGCTAATGTTAAAGCCGGAGCTCAAAACAACAACTTGTGTTAGAAGCAAAACGAAACTCGTGCATAACAAAAGGCGGCCTCCAGAACGATGGGGCTGGTAGGTGGGGGCTCAGGGGTTGTGCGCCGCAACATATTTTGTGTGCATTTGAATTTCCGCTATGCGACTGTGCAGTAATAAAGCTTGCCAAGTAAATTATAACATAAAGCCCCGGACCGACCAGCCGGGCCACTCGCATGCAGTCTCCGTCTTCAAGCTGGAGCCTCCAGTCGCTAAACTTGCTGGCTGCCAAGCTGCTGCTGATTGCAAATTGTCACGGTATTTTCGCTGGCAGCGCATAAATTGCCGTTTAAGCGGTCGCAGATCGTATTACAGGCGCTATACAATCGCCGCAGCCGGCGCAGTTGGCCGTATTTATGTTTGGCGTCGACGTTTTGGGCCCGACCAAAATCTTAATGAAGCCAGAGCTTAGGACAGGCTAAACCAACTCTTGATGCTGCCCGTTTATGTAATGAGAGCTGGCTGTCAAAAGGCTTTGGTTGAAACAGCAATTTCGCACAGCCCATTAGGCCGTTTCTTTTTACTCCTTTGGAATAAAAATAAGAGCTGCAATTAATGACGCTGTCGCTATAATTAAATTTCAATTGTTGGCGCACTGTTCCATTGATGTTTTGACGCTGACGCGCTAATTTCATGGCACGTACCCTTCTGCACGTTCTCAGCCGCCCCAGACCCAGACCTAGACCTCAGCCCGGACCCGGACTTGAACTTGGCATCGGCGCTGCTGCTGCTGCTGCTGGTGCCGTTGCTGTTGCCGCTGACGGTGCCCGAAGCAAACCCCCTTTCAACACACGCTGGGGTCAATTGTATGGCTTTTACGTTGTCGTAGCTCTAATATAATAATAAGCACTTGTGTATGGCCTTTTGTTGCTGCTGCGTCTGTTGCTTCTGACCAGCAATCAATAGAGAAAGAGTCTTGTAACTTTTTCTTACTGTTAACTGATGCACAACAAAAAATTCCATAGAACATGTCATGTGCCTCGAACATGTTCTGCTTATTTATGTGTTTTACTAATTGCTGCTTTTTGAGTGGTTTTTACCTGGCAGTTGGCCAGCCGCAGTTGGCGTTCTTCTCGTCTAACAGTAGCCAAAGAAAAATTTCGTTTAATGGCTTTTCCATAAACTGCAGCTACTTATGAGCATGGCAAGCACTTTCTTCGTCTTCTCTGATGTGATTATCTGAGGGCATCATGCTGCCTTTTAAGTTGTGTTGAAATGGGCTAAAATGTTTTGAAAGCTGCCTTTAATTGAATTTATCTCGGCTATAACCCTCTTAACCCAATAACAATAATGCTGGGAAACTGCCGAAAGTTCTTGCTATAATTGTATAACATTGGGCTCCTAATTTAATTGTCATTAATCATGATTTGAGTGGTAAAATAAGTAGTTAACCATAACTTTTTCTGAAATGGTAACGAAATGCAGCTAATGTGAGACCAGCCGACAATATGTAGATTACCAATAAATAAGTTTATTTAAGACCAGTTTGCATCGTGATTTTTGGTAAGGTCAAATCATGCGACACTTTCTTTATTTATTAATTTAATTGCTTGAAATTGTTTACTCAGTGCTTTAATGCACGAAAATCCCATCATTAAGCTGCTGGGCCATACAACGCTTTCCGAAATACCCTAGGGCACTGAGCAATTTTCATAAACGCCACTTTCCATGCGCATCATTTGCCAAACAGTATTTGAAAGCAACTCGGTTGCATGAAGTAACAAAAGTAGATAGTCTGTTGCTTTTTTGGAGGCACAAGTTTGGGAGCGTAAGCCCCAATGACGAGCCAATAGACAAGCACAGTGGAAATTTCAAGAGACAGCAAACAAAAATGCAACAAAAGCAGAACTGGCAAATGGTTTTTCCCATTAGTTTCAAATAAAACCCACTTTTACCCCAGGCAAAAAAAAAAAACAATTGCTAAATTGTTGTTGTTGTTATTGTTGCTGCTGGTGACTGCGTTGAGTGACAGGGCCGAAAAGTGGTAAGAGCAGAAGCAGAAGCAGAAGCAGAGCAGTCCGCACTGCACGTGAACAATGCAAGCTAATCAAATAATGAAGTGAACTAACCGAGCCTAAACAAAAGAAAGAACTTTCTCCGTTGGCGCACTGCTGAGAACCAACTACTGCGGTCACTGCTTCTACTGCTACTCTGCTGTTGCTGATGATGACCCAATATGCCAAACGCTTTTGCATAAATTTTAATGAATTTTACGGTAGACTGCAAACTGCCAACTGCCAACTGCCAACTGAGAACTGGGAACTGGCCAAAATAATTTGCACTGGAAATCAACGCGGCGTTAAATTGCGTCAACTCAGAATGCTACAGGCCAATAGATTTCGTGGTCAGATTGTTGACATGACATAAACACGCTTTTTGTTTATATTTATTTTGATATTTTTTCGTTACACTGTGAGAACTATGGCCAGCATAGGCATCTAGGTGCGCAGCACACTCAGCTGCGCAATCTAATGGCAATAGCAATCGGCATGGCATTCTGGCCTATACCCAGTACCTGCAACATAACTAGTCACATCGTCTCCAGACGCAGACACACTACTAACCCAGTGGCGGTTGCGTGCGGCCAAGAAACTGGTTGCTCTTCTAATTGCCCCAGTCCAGCGGTGGCTAGTACGAGAATGACAACCCAGCGAGGTGCAGCTCGGGCAGTTCACTTCAATGCATTCAATTTTGCGGTCGATATGATTGGATGCGAAATGATAAACAAAAACGATAACAAAAACTGGCTGGCAGACTGTTAATTAGAGCATAATGCCGTCCATCAGAAATATTCTATTTGCATTCTGTGGTTATCAAAAGCTTAAAAAATAAACAACAAGCGATCCGACGTTTTGAGTGTCTTTAATGCCGGGTAGCTGTACAAGGCCTATCCCGTTAGTTTACGCACAAAGCAAAGACTCATATAAAAGGAAGCTGGGATGAAAGAACTTCAATCAAAATAGCCTCAACAATCATCAAGTTTGTTGCCTAAGTCTTTTGTTTACGTTGCTGCTGAAGCTTCAGCTTTGATTCTAAGAATCCATTCCAGCGAAACGAAAAAGAATGATTCACATTCGGACGAAAAGCACTACATTCTTATACAGACATATGCATATGGTAAAGATATATCAGTGTCATCTGTGAAACACTTGTTTACCAATTCGCCATTTTAGTTGGCTTTTCGCAACATACCACCAAGCTTATAACGTATTGTCTTTTGAATGCGTTGATCTCGGAACTTATAAAAGCTAGAGACTTAAAATGTTTATATTTACAATTTCAACTCCGCATGAGGGAACTTTGATAAGGCAAAGAAGCGCCTAACGCGAGTTATAACTGGTGTTGGTAGCAGGAGGTTCAGGGTATCCCCCAGTCGGGCACTCCCGACTAGAGCACTCTTGTTTATTATTTTTTTTTACTTTTGTTTGTTGCCGTTTTGTATTTAACGTTCAACAGTCGAACGCAATGACGTCATGCCAACACACATTTTTATATTTAAGATATATTCATATGTGGACACTTGCCATATACATACAAAGACCCCCAGCATGTGCGTGTGTGTGTCTCTCGGTGTCTCTCGGAAATTAGCATATTTTGTTTGCTGTGACATTGAAATGGATTTTAATGGCCCGTAACAACAATAATAATAATATCAGCAAAACAACAACAACAACTGCTCGCTAAACTCTGCTAATGGGCAAGTCGATATTTGTATTGCATTTACATTGAGGCGACAATTATAATTAATAACATGGTCGATAGTTGTCGAATGCGTTGCGCATTTTAAATACCTGTCGATGCCCAAATATAAAAATCTACCATTTCGGCTGTTGGTCTTTGTGTGAACAACCTTTGAGACTAAAAACCGAAAACGCAAGTTCGTTTCTTGTTTAATGAGTGTGAAAAGCAAAGCGGCGTTAAGGCAAAAAACAACAGCAGCAACAACAAAAGTACCGTAAGGTAGCTAAAATTCAATTTAACAGATATTCAACACGCACTCATATGTGTGTTTGAGTGTAAGCGTGTGTGTGTGCAGTTTTAAAGACAAACTTGGTAAACTTATATTATAATCGTCATTAACAGCCATATCCTCATAATGAACATTAAGCCCTTCTTCATCTACATCTTCATCATCTTCATCATTTTCATCATTATCATTCGCAGCGATTCAAAGCTGCTTCGCTGCGTTTGTTTGCCGTTGTTTCTGCTTCAAGGTTCTGTGAGTTTTGCATTAGCTAGAGCTAACAAAGAGCTAAATAGTTGTTGCTGCCTTTTATCGTTGTTGTTTTTTTTTGTTGTTGTTGTTGTTGTTGTAGTTTTGCATCTAGTTGTAGGCAGCTCTCTTTGCCACTTGCGGTCGCCAAGCCCAAAACGCCTTGTAGACGCCCCACGTGGGCGCTGGGCAATGTGCTGTATGTTTTATGATGTCATTTTACGCGGCCGCTGACATCAATAAATAGTTAGTTCAATATACCCGTTATGCATATGGCTTTGCATACGTAGAAACTGAAAGTTTTTGCTATTTTCAGCTGTCAATCAACTGGCCACAAGCGACACAGAGCCAAGCTGAATAAAAGCCTGCGGCCAAAACAAATTATTTTGTATTTCTGCTTGGGCTTTCCATCGCAGCTAGAAGCTAACTAGCTAACCAACACAGACACACATTCGCCGCGGACATGCAGCTGCTTAAAGACCGGCTTACACCCATTCCAATTGATGCCAAGCCTGTGCAGCTATCGCTTTAATAGATTTGTGCCATTTCATAAGCCGAAAACGAAATCAGAGCATTTCACGGCCGATCGCAAACAATTGAAAATTGGCTTTTGGTAGAAGGGCTTCCTAGTAGAGACACGGTCGGTAAAAGTTTCGATATCGGTCAGTGGCACATTCGAGAAGTGAAAAATAGAAGAACAAGCGCACAAGCGCACAAGTCGCTTGAATTGCCGCCTAGCTATTGATAGGCTGACAAACTGACAAGCTAGCGAACTGGTGAACTGGCGAAGTGAGCAACTGGCGCAGCTGCGGCCGCCGCACAGTTCATTAATTTGTCTTGCCTGGAAAATTGCCGTGGAAAATTCACGTGCCCGCAGCGAATGTTGTTTGTACGAGTTTATGAGTGCCCCATGAAAATGGTCAGGTAATGTCAGAGCTCGCGGTTAACCTCGTTTTTATGCCTGGCCCATCCAGAACAGTATTGTATGCAAATGAAAAGTGAAATGGAAGAAAACTACGCGAGAAGTGCGACTAGTTATAATTATTTTTGTATATCTGCCACTCCTATAGCCCAAAGGGGCACCTGGAGTGGATGTTGGTGCTGGTGTTAACTTACCTGTGTGACTAGCAGCGCGCTGAGCAGCAGCCATAGAGCCGTCATGCTCGAACCGGAGCCGTGAGCTTCCTTTGTACGATGTGTCATTGTGGGGGCACGTTCGTTGCCTAAGTCTTTTGTTTTGTAGCGCCGCGTATTCGAATCCTTTTGGCAACTGCAAAAAGTCGTTGATCAAGCAGTTTGCATTAAGCAATTGTACAAATTGTTATTGCAAATTATGGCAAATTTCATGCGCCTCACGCAGTTAGCAACTGAAAAGCTGCACTTCATAACGAATTACTCATTCAACTTGTTATTGTTGTCGTCGGGCTGGTTGTTATTTTCAAATGCTCATCAGACATTGACTCATCAATGCGAGAACAATGCGAGCTTTAAACAATTGCTTTGCTACCCTAGCTAGCCGATTTCCTGCGGTTTATTGCCTCGCTTTCAACTGCACAGCTGCAGTTCAGATAATTTTGAGATTTTTGTGGTTTTCTAGCCATAACTTTCTAGGAAATTTTAAGTACGTGAACGTGACACAAGTGTGTAGACGGCCGGCTACATTAATTTCTAATCTTTTAATATGATTTTTTATCTATGAAATTTCTGCTGCAAAGTGGACCACAAGCGGCGCATCTGTCTGCTCACGTACACGATTTCATTTTCTATTTCACGTTGGCTGTAAAAACAAAATTAAAAGCGACCCCGACCTGATTGATCTGAGCACCGCGCATTAAACTTTAAAATGAAGCTGCTTTTTTTCGAGGAAAAGGTTTTGCCAATCGCTTCAAATGAAACAACGAGAATGAGTGTTCGAAACAAGTTTTTCTGCGATACACATATGTGTGAATGCCAATTGTAGGTATCGAAAAACAAATAAATGACAATAATAAATTGGCGCGCTTTATAAGAGATTGGCAAAAAAGCGCTAGCTGAGAGCGCGCTTACGTCATGGGATCGCATTGTCGCAAAAAACAAAGCCAAATTGTTGAAATGTTCATGAGTGAGATGCAATCTGATACAATAGTGGATTCAAGTCAATCTATAGCCTAACCAAAGAGTCTTATTAATTTTTCTTTTCTGAGCAATTTTTAGCGGAAATAGCAACACACCCACACGCAGTTGTTGTAAGCATTGAGTAGACATCTAACACTTCATGCAAAAGTTGAACCCAACGAAATGGTTTTTGTTTGAACACATTTTATGCAATAGCGCTACAAATATTTGGCCAACAGTTGATCGCTTTTCGTTAAAAGTACAAACAGCAACTAAGAGAAATCGTCAGTTTGGGTTAAAGCCAAGTTAAGAGCGGCACTCGCAGATCGGAGAGCTACTCGCAGATTCGCGCAAGTTCCGAGCATTTCACTTGACAACTTTTAACATTTCCTATATATAAATTTTTGTTAATTATTTTGTAATGTTTTTTTTTGTTCCCATGAATTTTGCCATTTGTATTTTGTTGTTTATTTATGCAAAGTGGTTTATCTATTGCTTTTTGAATTCACTTCGCTGTTGCGCTCTTTGGCTTATTGTTGTAAACGAGCAAGCACGTGAAAACAAGTTTTATGCAACAAGTTTGGCTGAATTTTTTGTGTTTTGTTTTTAGCTAACGAAAACAGTTTATTGTTGCTTAAAACATGTGTTTTGTTAAAATTAAGGCAACTACACTCACACAATATTCAAAATTTATTGTTTCTGGCTGTTCTGATACGCGCTTAACTGAAACGCAACTGGGAGTTAAAGTTTCCGCTTGTCACGTTTGCAACAACTTTACGGCTCGAGAGTTTTGTTGGGACTGAAACTGGCAGCGTGGGGCCTTTGCTTGGATGCTCTGGCTCCAAGCTGAGTTAGCATTGGCTGAGTTGCCGCTCCGTTGCTGTCGTTCGTTGTTGTTGTTGTTGTTGTTGTTGTTGTTGTTGTGTGTGCTCTGCGCTGTGTGCTCTTTGCTTTGGCTTTTTATTGTTTTGTGTTTACATACAGACATTTTTTTCATGTCTCGCTTTTTGGCCACATCTTTCGTTTGTTTGATATTTCATACACATCTGCTGCTTGTGACGGTGAACCGTGTTGCCAGATCGCTGAAAAATGATGTAGTAATGTGCGCCAACTTGGTCTAATATCATTCATACCGTTAACGTTACGCTCTTGCTGATAAACGTAAAAAGCAGGCACGTGTATATGTATGTGTCTCTTGAATGCATGTGTGAGTGTCTGAGTGTGTGTGTGTGTGTGCATGTGTAACGGTGGTTGCTATATGCACGCGTACAAAGACTTGAATGAATCGATACTCCCGCAGTTTTACTATCAGCCGCATGCGCACTAGCTTTATGAGGGTAACATTGCTCTGAGAATGTGCACGTTGTTCAGTGTTGATAAACGCAGCAAAAATAACGGAAAAATTGCACTTTTTTAGCATTTAACGAGGGCAATATTTCTTTATTTTGCATAACATTGCATTGTAATTTGTTAAGGTTTAGCTAACTAAGAATTGTGAAAGGTCATGTTGATATTTTAATAAAAAAAATTGCCGTGTTAACCCTCTCTACATCCATTGCATTCTCCCAATAGCTCTCGCTCTCGCTCTCTCACGTTACGCATTACATTTTGGTGGGAAATTAATATATAACAACTCGACTTGACGCTCAGTGAAAATTTCATCACCGTCGTTGATAGTTCAGCTATTTTTTGCATTGTGTGCTCGAAATTTAAGAAGCAAATTTTAAAAATAGAAGCATTTTTGTGTTCATTTTTGATAATTAAATTCATCTAAAATCTAACACGGTTATTTCATTAAAAAATTAATCACTTAATTACAAATCAAAATAAACTGTGAATTCCTCTGCTCAGTTTAGCTAAGAAAAAGGTGCGACTCAAACCCAAAGGAATTTGGAACTGCCAAAAATCGAAACACGGTAAAAATTCTGTATCACTAAGTCAGTCAAACACTGTGTGTATGTGTATGTGTGTGTGTGTGTGTGTGTGTGTGTGTACGTGATAAGCGTAGACAGACGCCGTAACAACAAAGCCCAGGCAAAAGCTAAAGCAGAGGCTGAGACAGAAGCGCTTTATTGAATTAGACGCGAGGATTGGCAGCCAGCTAACCCACAAACCCACAACAGAGCCAAAACTCTGACCATAGCGGGAGGGGACGGTAAAGGGGTAGTGGAAGTGGGTAGATAACTTTCGCGTTTGTTATATGCTGTGCTAATTGGCAAGTTAGCAAATTTTAATTAGAGCAGTAAACAAATATGTACGAGTATTTATAGCAGACAGCCCTGAAATATGCAACGAATGGCGTTTTGTAATTTTGCTAATAAAAGATACACACACACCCGCATAAACATACACACACACACACACACAGCACGTGGGCGACCGTGCACAATGTGTGGTTGTTGTTTTTCCTCTGCTGCTGTTAGCGTACGAGTCTTTGACCTCTGCCGCAAGCGATGTCATATTTATGTCACATTTTTGTCAGTTCCCGAGGTTTCTCATTATATGTTGCTTTAATTACCGTTGAAGGCACATTGAACGCCTCGTTAATGGAAAACTGAAGTCAACTCAAGTCCCATGAACCAAAAAAAAATGTGCTACCTGCTAGAAAAGGAAATGCGGTCTGAATATCTCTTGGATATGGCTGCAGGTGTTTGCCTCTATCTTTTGCATTTGTGCGTCCTGCGTCCATTGTTATGTGTGCAACCAGTCCGGGAACTGTTTTAAGGGCACACAAAACCTGCTCCTAAGCCACAGCTGTATGCTGTGTGCTCAACATCATTCTCGTGTCGACGTTGATGGATCCTTGTGACCACTGTGCTGCAATCTAGCCCCATTAAGGGGCCAAACGCTGCAAAGTAGTTTGAAGCACAGATTTCAGTTGGCTTAAAGAAAGCTGTGGAAATGTAGAAGACCGTGTATTTTTTGCAAAATTTATCAAATTGCGACTATTTTGATTTAAGTATTACAACAAGTACAGCAAGCCACATTGTGGGCTATGCAACAAACAGTTTGCGGGAGTACAAATAGCAGTTTCTATATTGCGAAAATTCAACATTGTCCGCTTTCCTTTGGGGCTGTAGCTGTAATGTAAGCAATCAAAAGTTACAGAGACAGATACTGATTCATCGTTGTTGTATTTATAGCAAAAGTTTGCGTGCAATAAACAATTTGAGACACTGCATGAAATAATAAACACACATTGCCAATATCAGCTTGCTTGCCACCAAATGTGCCATTTTCTGATTCCGTTTTTCGGCAGACTCATCTGTCAACTTTGACATTTGTATTCAAGGATGAGTGCGAATGCGAGCGAGCAAGCGAGAAGGGGCGTGATTTCGCCGAAATGGCAAATGTCACACAGCGGCAAGTAGCAGCACGGACACTTGCACTCTCAAACACACACACACACACACCCGTGCATACTCAAACTTAAGCCACAAGAGAATTGTTTTTGGTGCGCCCACGCAAATGTGGCACAAAGTAAGCGGCAGTCCAGACCAAGTGACGCCATTGCCGAACTACACGGCGTATGCGTAATATCGCCAGCTTTAAATAGCCCGTAATGAAAGCTTATATCATAAATGCAAGTCCAACATTGTCTGAATCGTAGCTTCATGCATCTTTTATGACGCTGTAAATTTGCTATTTGCAATTCCAAGTCCCATTCGCTGTCTAACGAATTTCAATTTATGTACATATCATTAGAGCCTGGCAAGGACATACTAGAGAGAAGACCAAATTGCGTCTAAGGCCGTTGTGTCAATTTGTGGCACGCACACGCTAAGTCACTTAAGTTTTTGAGTGAGCAGCAGTAAAACATTTCTTAACTACAACTTTAATACGAGGGTGGTTTTAGTCAGCATGCCATGACTTGTTTGAATTTTCCGACAAAACAAGTTAAATCCTTGGCGCTGAGAGATTCATCAAAAGACGCCCTTGGGACACATTAAGTTAAAGGTTTGAGATTTTCGCTTTAAGCACACAGAAATATATTTACGTATGCTTGACAATGTTTTTCTATTATTCTGCTAAAGTTGCAAATACTGTTCTAGCAATATAAATAGCGTATCCTACGCTTTGCTAACGCACTTTTCCTAAGCCCTGATATTCACTAGCGAACGTCTCCAAAGAAGTACATGGATCTGTTTGTTTTACGATTTACATCGATTATGACATACAAATTTGTCAATCAGTTCAATCTGATCGGTTAAAAAGAACGAACTTTCATCGGTTGTATTAATCGTAAGTTGATTTTACGACTTCGCGAGATTCCAACTTTTGATTGTTATTAACTAATTCGGTTCATATTAAGAAAGAAATTATAATTCTATGTTCGAATTAGGTCTCGGCCCGTTTTCAGCCCTTGAGTTTTCTTGTGCCAGCTTAGCACTGGGTTTGTATGCATATATATCTTTATTAGTGCTTATCAGGTTTGTTCAATCCAATTTAATTACATAACAAGATCCCAGCAAACGTATTAAAAGTTTTCTATGTTCTTAATTAAATTGAGAGGCTTCGTCGGTATGGAAAAGTATACCATATTGTAACAAAACGACATTTTCCCTTACAATATTTTTTCTTACTCTCAGTTTTGCCTGTATCCTTTGTCCTATTTTGCGGCAGGGAGTGCATTGAACCAACAATAATAATCGTTCGAGTTGGTCGCACATACCAACAGCAACAACAGTAGCGACCACAGTTGAACAGACTGTCTGACAGTCAGTTGGACAGACAGATAAACAGGCAGTCAGACAGTTGGGACGCCTGCCATTTTGTCCTGGCTGGCGACCAGATAGCTGTCTGTTTCTTGTTGTTCGCTCGCCAATCAGATGTTTGTTCTATGCGACATTGTCAAAAGTTGTTGTGACAAGCGCTGAGTAAATAAATTTGCTTAACAAACTTAAATTAAACCTTCTTTATTCTTTAATTGCAGGATTTAGCGGAGACCTTTAAAGTTGAACACGCAGCTGCAAGGCATCCATCCAACTGAACAGGAGCTCTGCGCCAACGACACTGAACCCAGGCCAACTGTTCGGGTCCATCGTTGTCCACGGTCAATATTAGCGCCATTGCAACTGCTGGGTGTGGGCGAATCTGCGCCCCGCCACCGGTAAGGCAGTGCCACATTCACATATCATTCGATGCTAGCCATCGTTCCCACCGCCATTCACTGTCATTCAGCATCAACTATTCATTTAGCTATACACACGCACAGATATGTCATGCCATGCCTTGCTTCATATATGTATGCCCGTTTTTTACGTTCTGTTTTGTAGTTTTTCAATTTTTCCGCTTATCAGTTTAGTTCAGTTGCCTTTAAAGCTTGGCTCAGCCATCAATTTTAAACTGTTTGCATGCAGTGCTTTGGCACTGCGCACACATCGCCAGCATAAACCCGAAATGGCCCACAAGCCCGGGGCAGCTTGTTTGTTGTGCGTGTGCTGCAAGTGTTGGCTCATAATGCCAGCTTGAAAAGTTTCAAGTGTTTTGGGCCCAAGGGGCGCAGCCCATTCAAATATATAACACAAGAGGTCCAACAAAACGAGAAGGCCGTGCAGCGTTTTGACTACAAGTGTTTGACATACTTGACAGACAACAAGGCACCACCCTGCACGGGCCACTGAAATTCATTGATTTTTATTCGTCAGCGGAGTCCACAAGGGTGCACAAAGCCCATGGCTCCATGAATGTGGCTGCTTAGCACTTGGTAACTAGTGTCCTCAGTTGTCCTTCGCAACAGCTTGGCCAAATGCAGTTAGGCTGGCACCTGTTGCCAGTCTGCTCGGAATCGCTAATATCCTTTTCGATGTAGTTAGTTTTTATGTTCATTATGCACACGAGTGTTTTTCTTTTATTCAAATTCAGCTGTTGCTCGGCTTAATGATTATTTTGTTTCGTTTATCCTGACTTTTACTGCGTTCGTTCGAACATTCCAAGCTCAATAAAAATCACCTAGTTTTCAGTTCACAAATTTTCATTGCCATTCCATGTTCTACTAACACACGACCAGTTGACAGTTTGTAAGTAAGACCAAAACAAATCGACGCAACAAAAATAATTAAATAAATTTACTAATCGTTCTCTAAACAAGATGACATATGAAATTTGAAATTGGGGTTCCTTTCTAAGCAATACGATTATTGCTAGCTCTTGTATATATATATATTTTTTTTACGATTTTTACCATCTTTCACTGCGTGAATTTTCATTCGAAGTGACCGTCAAGTATACGTCTAGTATGACGGTAATTAAGACTCAAGCCAATTAGGCACGGCCACTATCTCCGGCCTAAAATCGGCCATATCGTGCCAACCTTAATTACAGATTACTGATCACAGATTAAAGTCAGAGCAGTATTTTATTGCATTTTATGTTTACGTAACGCTTTGAACGTTTTGCCTTGAATACTCAATTATACACATACATACTTACTGCCTAAGTGTATGCCCCAATATACGATGTCTATGCACTACAACAACAATTCGTTTATTGAATGCCTTAAATTCGAAGCACTTAACTAATAAGTTGGTCTAAAGTTAACTTTGTATTCTCTATTTCGTTCGCGTGCCGCACAGGAACCGAAAAGCAGCACCCTGAATTTCTCATCGTTTAAATCAAGCTTCACTTCCAATGTTAATTTCCTGAAGAGAAGGTAAAGACCTTAAAAGGAAACGCCCCCTTCCTTAGCGGGGAGGGGGCTTCAGTTCAGGACGAGACTAATTTGAGATTTCATATGTTTGTCTATTTTCTCTCCCCCCCGCAAATGGTGCGCTTTTCTCTCTCTCTCTCTCTCTCTCTCTCTCTCTTCCTCTATTTCTTTTGCTCTCTCACATAAATGCGCTGCACCTTTCACTTGTCTACTTGTTCCACGGTTCGCATTTGAAACGCCCTGGCGAAAACCACAACAAACCCACGCAACAACCACACCACACACCCAACACAAACATCTAATCCACATCCACGCAACATGTGCAGATTCAGCTCGGGAGACTTGTCTTCCGAGGTCGATGATGTTGATCCCAATAGCTTGCCGCCGGCTGCGCGTCCTATACAGGACCAGCCAACTAAGCCGTATGTTGCCGGCGGTCCGCCGAGCATGCCGCCACCGCCGGCACCGGGCCAATTGCCGCCGCAGCCTGCCGGCGCAGCTCCGGAGCTGTCGCTAAGCTTCGGCGCTGGCAAGGCACCGGCTTCGGCGGCTCCAGCGCCCCCGCGAGGCGTAAGCGCGCCCACCAGCCCAGCCAAGTCGCGAGAGAGTCTCTTGCAGCGGGTGCAGAGTTTAACAGGCGCAGCGCGTGATCAGGGCGCTTCCATATTGGGTATGTTATGGCTTAATACAATTCATGAATTCCTACGCAAATACTCGGGTGCAATTTAATCGAACTCCGTGTATCATATAATCTTCATGTTATCGACATCATACAGTTCGTAATTTCGCTTTTTCAATTCCAAATAATTCTCAATGTCAATTATTTGTATTTTATCTAAACAATATCAATTAACAATTTAAATGGATTTCTATGGCTTTCAATAGAATTCACGAAAATCAATTAAAATGTAATTAATTTTTTAATTTTCAGCGCTGAGGTGTTATTTCTTAATTAAAATATTAGATATTTATTACAATTTGCCAAATCAAAGATGAAAACAATTTCAGTTATAGTCAACATTTAGATGGGTTCGCTTTGCGAAATTATAGAGAAAACGAATTTCAGAGTTGCCCGGACAACTGCTGCAAAGTTGAACCTGGGAATGAAACTTAAATTAAATTATTTGCTTATCGCAATTAACTTTTACCACACGCAGGAGCTGCGGTTCAGAGTGCCACCCAGCGTGCGCCCACCTTTAACAAGGACAGATACTTCACGCTGCTGGTGCTGGATGATCAGAACACGGACTGGTCGAAATACTTCCGCGGCAAACGTTTGCATGGCGATTTCGATATACGCGTCGAGCAGGCAGAGTTCCGAGTAAGCTTGCGTCACACAGAACACTGAAACAATTGTGAGCCCTTTTTCTATTATCTACTGTGCATCCGCAGGACATAACCGTGGTCTCCAGCGCCGATACCGGACCGGTTGTTACAATGGCCGCCTATCGCAGCGGCACCCGGGTGAGTTTTTCCCTATTCTTGGTCGTTTCATGTTTGTTCTTAATTAGTGCATTGCGCACAGGCAATAGCCCCTGTCTGGTCCCTTCTGCTGTTAGTTGTCTGTTTATTTGCAGTTCAGCTATTTTTGCTTTTATTGCCCTAACATTTCAACTTAATTCGCATTGGAGTGGCTTAAGTGCTTTGCTGCCGTCGCCAAGCAAAGGCTCCGACCGGGCCACGCATTCAATTTACGTGCAGTCCAAAGGATTCTCAAGCACTACGTTTATCAACACTTTTCCAGCATTCCACATCACTTGTGTCCGTGTGTGCATAGTGGTGATTAAATAATCCCACAACTCTTTAGTTATGGTTGCACTCGGGCCAGTAATCAAAGCACTTGCAGCTTAAGCACTTCAAGCAGGACAGTCGTTCACAGTAGAAGTGGGTACTAAAATAATTTTTAGTCTAATGAGCTGCGCAGCTATCTTACATCAAACTAGTACCTTAAAAATGATTGGCAGTCAGTAGTAGCTACGTATAACAGACTGCTGTGGGCAGATGCAGTACTTTAAAATTGAAAATTCTGTTTTCTCAAGTTATATTTGACAAACACTCTAATTCTATTCAAGTTATGAACCTTATCTATGGTTTGTATTGAGACAAAATTATCCGAAATTGTATCCGATAGACAGAGTATCCAAGACACTGTTGCATGCATTTTCACCACAGTTATTTCTTGGCCCCGCCTGAAAGTATGCTGTGAAACGTTTAAATCGCCAATTCCTTGATTGTTGCATAGCACAAGGTACGTGATAAAATTATCCGATAGTTACGTGCGGCAGAAGTGTATGCATTACGTAAATGTGTGTGTGTGTAAAATGAACACGTCTGCATCTTGCGGCTGAGCTGTCTGTCATATATAATTACGGAGCAGCATATAAGTTGATTGTACATTGAATTCTGGCCTGAGCCACTGTTATTAAATGTGCGCAAGTAATGCTGGGAGTGCGAGATAAACGGCTGTTTTTCGTATTTATTTTGTCATTTTGCATCTAATTAGTTAAGAGTCAACTAAAATTACAAAATTATATTCTGCTTTTCATATTGGTTTCTAATGTAACTTTGGAATATCACACACCAAAACAAAAATAAAAAAAAAAAAAAAAAAACAAAACAAAAACAGGTGGCCCGCTCTTTTCGCCCGGATTTCGTATTGATCCGTCAGCCGCCGCGTGACGGCTCCAGCGATTACCGATCAACAATATTGGGTCTCAAATACGGCGGAGTGCCCAGCATCAACTCGTTGCATTCCATCTACCAGTTTCAGGTGAGTTGAGAGCTCTTTCCGAGTGCCTGTTGTGGGTGTTAATGTTGCAATCATTTGGCATCTTTGTTATTGTTATTGGACAGGACAAGCCATGGGTGTTCTCGCATCTGCTGCAGCTGCAGCGTCGCCTGGGACGCGACGGCTTTCCGTTGATCGAGCAAACATTCTTCCCGAATCCGCGTGATTTGGTAAGTGTATTAAACATTAAGAGCTAATTACTAATTAAGTAGCTACATTGAATCGTGGTCACATCTAAAAGCCGTCCATTAATAAATAACACATTAAGCATAACGTACAAATTAAAGCTCTACACAAAACTCAAATATAAAATTTAAATAAAAACTGTAGCATAACAGAAGGCACTCCGGCCGCCTTTTGCATATTCTACGGATAGCTTAGGCACTTTTTGTAGAGCTGCGTACGTCGCCAGCGACAGCGCTGAATATCGCCCATCGGCGATTTGATGTTGTGGGGCACGCAGGCAGAGTAGTCCCGCTCGCACTTGCCGTACGGCGACCACTTGCAGCCGTCGGCGTACTCCCGCTGTCGCAGGCACTGCATGCCAAAGCATGGGGTGATCTGTGCGAGTAAATGGCAAGGATTCGATTTTAGCTGGCAGCTATTTTGATTGGGGCACATGCTGGCTGGAGCACACTTACCGTGCAGTTGCAGGCCAAGCCGTAGGCGCCACTGAAGCCGTGGCGCTCGCTGATTGTCATCTTAGTGTATTCCTTGTAGTAGCTGCACAGATTTAGCTGAGGCATGCGTCCAGCTATAATGTACACCTTGCCAATGTCCAGCTGAATGCCGCACATCGCGTCATTATTGGGCGTGGACAGACGACCGTCACGCAGCATTCTGCGGGCCTCCGGTGTGGCCTAGGCAAAAGAGAAACGATTCGGCTGTAGAGGAATGATATAGGGGCAGTGCCACGAGTGCCGAGTGCTTACCTTATAGGTGCGCTTTATGTGCACCTTGAAGGTGGTTTTGCCCGGCTCGATGGAATTCGACTTGCGCAGAACGCGCAGCTGCACAACTGTCAAGGAAATGCTGGCATTTTAATAGAATTCTCCAAGGATATGTGAGCATCCTTTACACATAGCACTTAACACCCCATTGCTTCCCATTTCTACTCACCATAATCAGCAGTGCAGTAATGCGTCTGTGGATGCGAGGGCATGCACATACAGGCATCTGCGGAGCTTCCATAAAATGCCAGCACTGCGAACAGTGCGAGCGCCAATAAACTCAAAGGCTTTGTTAATTCCATGGCGGCGTCAAGCTGGGCAGCTCCAATCCGTGTGTGTCGCCTTGCTAACTATCCGAAACCAATAACAAAATGTGCGCGGTGCTGTAAGGCAAAGGGAAATGTATATGATTGCATTTTATTTGTATGACGATTTACTGCTTGCGGTAACCCAAAGCCACTGCTGAAGGTCACTTGTCAGCGCTGCATTAACTCTGCCTTACTTATGCTATAGGCTTATCTGTTAAACGTGCTGCCACCCATCACCCAATCATGCATCCATCAAGGCGCTGTCAAGTGTCACATATTACGCATACGCCCCAGTGTCCAAGTAATTAATACTGTCAATGCGTCTCGCCTGTGGCACGCATCATTATCAAGTGGGCAAGAGGTTGCTGTGTTCGCATTGTTTGTTGTGGATTACATTTACTTTAGCAGCCACTTTATAAAGTGTATATAACAAAAGCTGCTTTATTATCTATTTGAACAACTCGCATATATTTTAATGGTCATTCGAATTCAATTTAATGTTATTCTCGTGTTGTGCTATCAATTCGGATGCCCCTGCATGAGCTGTACGCATAAATCGCATTGGAAAACAATTCGAAAAGTAGTTCAATTGCCAGAAAGTAATTCATGCCAGCCATTCCATTTAGTATTGTTTACGGGAAATTCATAGAAAACTTGAGCCAAAGAAATCGAAATCCATTGAAAAGCTGCTGCCATGCATATATATCAACGCAAAAATATTGTATAATATCGAGAGCGGGGCAAAATAATCAGTCCAGTCAGTCGAACTCGCATTTGCAGTCGCAGTCGCAATCCCATTTCCAGGTCCCAGTCATCGTGTCGAACTGATCGACAGAGATAGGCAGGCCCATATAGACAACATATGCAATGGCTATGCCAGGCAAAGGCAAAAGCAAAGGCGGCACCAGCAACAGCAACAGCAGCAGCGGCAGCGGCAGCGGCAATATGGCAATTAAATTGAAATAAAATTGAATTAAAAGCATTTTGCGGAAAAGCCACTAGAAAAACAACTGAGCAGGGAGAAAGACGACGACGGAGCCGGCAGTAAAGAGGGGATGCACAGTCGATTGCCTTATTGATTGAATCCAAGCAAGAATAATGCATCAAACTATTTATTAAGTGGCAGTCCAAAGTGGCAGCTAGACGAGCAGACGCCTCGGCCCTAATGGGCCAACTGAAGAGCGCTGCTGGAGTAGAAGCTTGTCAAATCTAGATCTGTGTCGTAATATCTTTATGTTCATGGAATTCTTCATGAGGAAAGTTTCCTTTCAGTTTGCCTGGCTTCAATGCACATTTGTTTTCTTTGGTTTTGTTTTGTTGGGCTGTTGTGTCTTGTCGGTCTGGATTTGACACTTTGGCTGGCAATTAACGGCGTGGATTTGTTTAACAAACAGCCAACAAGACAACAACAAACAAGCGAACACAAAACTGGCACGCACACATTCGTAACGTGAACAGCGTTTAGCAACTAAATCAACTGGAAAACCAATAGAAAACAAGAAACAACTTTTTACACTCGCTGCAAATTCGCACGATTTCCATTCGTTTAGTTTTCCACGATAGCAGCTCCCACCCATCGCCATCAGCAGCCACAATTAGCGTACCCATATATCACGCAGGCATATTTTAAAGTTGGCCCCAACGAGCAGTCGGGGGACAGCAGCCAGCAGGCGTTGGCGGCATGTCAACGCCAAAGCTAGTGCTCATGGGATGGGGTGGGTGGTAATACGGGTGAGGACTGAGGTGGACTATCGATGCCAGTGGCAGCGGTGTTTTGTTGACAAGCTATACATGTGTCAATTAAATGTTATATATCATAGCACCACTGCACACACACACACACACACAGAGAGAGGCACATGCATACACACTTAATTGTATATGAATAAACACTTATGGGCTGTTGCTTTGACGTCACTTTGAGAGTCGTCTAATTGCCACACTTGTTGTTGCTGTTGTTGCTGACATTGCTGTTGTTGTCCTATCGTCATCAGCATGGAAGTTGACATTTGACACTGAAACAGTCGGCAGTCGGCTTCAGCATCTGACTGTCACTTTGCTATGCGGGCCGCCAACAAAAGTTTCGAAACACACATGCACACATGCACACATGCATGCATGTGTATAGTCAAATATGGACATGACTTTAATTAGCATTGATTTCCACTTTGCCCTAAGCCCATTTAAACGAGTCCAACAACAGCTGCAAACAAAGGGGCGCGGGAAGAGCATCATATTCTGTGAAAGAAAGTGCCCCAACTAAAGCAACTGGTGCTCATATGACATATATCAGATTGGTGTCATGGGGTAGATGGGGAGATAAACGATTGCAATCAAAATCGAGATAAGATACTGACATCTTGAGAATGCAGATACACGAGAATTGGTGAACATATATTTATACTTTATAATACCTTATGCGTACTGTCGTTAAGTTTGTACTAAGCAACTGATGGAAAAGCTGAAAGTAACCCAATGATGGGTGCATACCAAATATGGTGGTATGTGGCATATTCAGACGCGGACTTTTATGTGTTTAGTATTTCTTATTACGATAAGCGCGCACTAAATGTGAAATTTTTCAAAGATTCCAGATGCGTCACATTTTGGCGAAAATAAGAAAAGTTTCCTCTTAGGTTCGTTAGTTCGCTCAATCAACAATTTGCATTTTGGATTGCAGCCACTTTTTCTAAATCTTAAATTAAATTTGTTTGGCTTAATATTTCTTTCTTTCATATAACCATTTTAATATTAACTAACGCTATTTGAGCCAAATACTTTTTTTTTTGCTTGTGATGTTGTGCAACTTGTTTTAACTCAAGATTCGAGTAACAGTTAAGAGAGTGTAATTCCAGAAACGAAACGAAAGCGATTAGCAGTTATTTATTTAAATGCATTTCCAAGAAATAATTAAATATAAAATTGTATAATATACTCTCATTGTAGACTTGTTTTATTTTATCATAATACGGTAATATTTTGACTGCCAGCTGCATCAACTTATCATATTGTGGGAATTTAATGCTTATCATATGCAATAATTCAATTTTTTAGGAAAGGACTTATACTCTTAGATATACAAATGCATGTTTATTTAAATACTTGTAATACCCGCAAGCACAAACAGCGTGACAGTGCGGCGCAGCAGGTTCTGTTTTGCAGTTTAATTTATACCCTTGTAGACAAAGGGATTACAGTTTTGCAGATATTGGGAAGACAGTAGGAAGCTCGTAACTACTGAGTTTGCGGCGTATATATTGAAAAGCAGAACGCTTTTCCACGCAAAAGCTCAACTTTGATCGATTCTAGAGTCCATAACTATATGATATAATAGTCCGATCCGATTTAAATATACTACTTGCTACCGAAATCAGAAAGGCTGAAGAAAAGGCTGAATATGGCAGCTCCAACGGATAAACAGAGAGACGCACAGAAGGACATGGTTAAATCGACTTTATATACTATGAAAACGAAGGTGTCATGATACCCTTCACAATCGTATAACAGAGCCACATATTTTAGTTGTGTAATTATTTACAAAGATTATTAACACTTGCCCAGACAGCGGCTTTCCAGGTAAATGAGTAACTGGGTAACTGGGTGACTGAAACTGGGCATTGAAAAGACTGAAAAAATCAAAAAGGTAAACAGCAAAAAGGACTGCACAGGGCTAAAAGAAAGGCAAAAAAAAAAAAAAAACATCGCCGCAAACCGACTTCAAGCGTTGCGATTGGGCTTTTGGTTTTTGGCTTTGGCCGGACTTGGATGCCGCGCCAAGCGGCTTCCAGAGAAAAGCCGCATAATTAGTGGGCTTCTGGTTATCGGCTGGCTGGTCGGCTCGGTAGCAGGCCATTAAACTGCTCTGTAAATAGAGCTGCACAACTTTGTTTTATGGCCACTTAATTGAGTCATAAAACGCCGCTAATGCCTGCATAATGCATGGCATACAAAATATTGACATGTTGCGCCATTTGCGGCACACAATCACTCGACCTCTCCCGCTTGATGGCGGCATGCAACACGAGCTCGGGGCAACTAAATAGTTCCGACATTGTGGTCTTTATGCCAGACAACACTATTTTTCGCGCCTCACAAATCAATGCACATAAAATCGAATCACAATCGAGGGAAATAAAAAGCCCGAAATATTTAATTTGTTTTGTCTTGACGTTCGTTTTTATACCCTACACCAATTAAACATGGGCAAAAGGGCATACTGGCAACGCGTTGATCTCCGAATATATAAGACCTAGGTCCTTCCAATGCCCGCGCCGTAAGAGTTTCTTATTCCGAAAATCGACAACTTGACCAGATAGAAATCGAAATATAGAAATGTAGCTGTTAAAATAGTATTTACAGGGTAAAGAATCCTTCATTTTATAGCTGAATTTGGGTTTGGTGAAGGTTCAGGTAACCCCTAGTCAGGCACTCCCGACTAGAGCATTCTTGCTTGTTTTTATTTATATTTATTTTTGTTGCTGTTTTTGCCTCAGCGGTCATTTACTTTTCGGCTTTGCGCTTTGTGACAATTCGCAATTGTTTGACTTTTATTGCTGATTGACTTTCTAAACAATTCGTTTTTGGGGCCGGGCAGATGTATAAATAAAGGCATATACTTATATATATAAATATATATATCGGTCGGTACAACGAATTTGTATCTTAATCGTAAAAAATTTCTTTAGTAAATGACTCCTCCGCAAAATGATTTCTGCACTCTAAAAAACTATATTTTGCATATAATAAAAAACATTATTAGTTAGTCTATAAAAACTGATTGAAATATGTTTCTTATAAAATGGAAATTTTAACAATTTTGAAATGAATCACTTAACTGAGTAAGTAATTTCATAAGAAGTTATATTGAGGTTTGATTGATATAGGCCTGAGCAACATGATGAATGCACAAATACATGTCTAAATGAAAAATGTAATAAATTTGAATTCCTTTGTGTCACATGCCACATTTAAGTCGGAATATGATGCAAATAGTATATATGTATATGGGTTGATAGTGTGCCAGCTTATATCAGGGCTTTATTAATATGTCCATGACTGCAGCCACTTTTCGCACT